GTATAACCACTACAGTCTACCGCTCTACCAACTGAGCTACCGAAGGCGATGAGTGAAGTGGGTCTAATTTGAAACATCAAGCAGATCGATATAAACTTTAGCTGACTTACACTAATTGCGGTCTATTTTCGAAACACGTTTACTTTCACAAATTCAATACTGCGAAGAAGTTAACCTTCGAATTCAAAATATTATTAGATCGCCAATGTCCGAAGCTGAAACAATAATAATTTTTTCCCATTAATTTTTCGTCTGAGTATTAGTCTAAACTTGGATCTATTCCAAGAGACGTCATCGGAAAACCGACAGAGGAAAAAACATACAAACAAAACAAGGCCATTATGCGAATCAACTCTACCTCTTATCAAATGCCAATTAATGGCATGCAATGCGAGTGCTGCGATGATAAGCACTCTGAATGTAAACTTGACATATTGGTTGAATAGCCGCGCCGACGCACCACATACTTTCATTCCATGTGCACGTTTTACATTGTATCGAAATATGCCAATTGAATTTTCAGGGGAAATGTGCAGAGTCAAATTCATTTGGATACGTATTTTCCAGGCGCGGATAAGAATACACATTTCATTTCCGAAAACCATATAATACATTCATTGTGCTGGAATTTTTATCAGTCGTACATTGGGCTTAGTGCTGTTTGCACGTAGTAGAAATAGAAAAAGCCATTTTTCTCTCTCTCCATGTGTCTCTAGTGAAATTTCCACACACAAGCAATAGAGAAAAAGCCATACTGTGCGTACGTGGAAAATAACTGAACATATTTTTTAGTTAGTTGAATCATATCGTAATTTTGTGAATACAATGCAAATTCATTGAATAGCTTTAATTTAATGTTAGTGTTGAACGCCATAAGAAAATCTCCATACTAAAATACGACCATAAACATGTAGAAGCTTATTGTACAACCAAAAGTGAGGTAAAAAAAAATTGGGGCTGCTGGAAAAAATCGATAAGTTGTCTGTACACGGAATTTCGTCGAAATATTACGTTTCGGTGAAAGTTTTTACATTCAAAAATGTGATTGAATGCATTGCGAATAAAAATAAACAGCAAATTAATCCGGTTATTGGGAAAATGGTATTTTTCTATCGTCATTTGTACCTTTGAAGGTAGTGAGGCTTTGACATAGTGCTTTTTTCCCCAAAGACGCACACGCCATTTTGGCTTCCGTCGAATTAGTAATGATTCAGTGGTGACTTTCGTAGTATTTAAGTACTTTTTTTTGCACTTGAGCAATGTTTATTCTAATGAAATGTGCGAATAAAACTCCGTATACGAAATGTAATATTGCAGTTGTTATCGTGATTGTCATTTTTCTTTTGCTCGAGTCATTCATGTAGGTGACAGTGGCCACCCTTTTCCCCCACGGTCCAATCGATTTTTCTGTGTGGTAGCGCAGCTTAATGACCTTGTGACAGAGCACAAGAGGATTTTTTTACGCTCAATGCTTTACGAATTATGTGTGTGCGTGGATTTTTCATTGAGGCACAGTAATTCATACACAATTCACTTCGCTTTATGAGATTTGCGGAGCGAAAAAAATGAGGCGTCTAATGCGAAAATGGCAGTTTGCAGCCCATTCTGGATTTCGACTTGTATTTAGCATTCGCTGCGTAATAAAACAAAATGTGATGACTTTGTAGGATATGAGCCTTGACGTCGTTATAAATGTTGCAATTTATAAAAATCCTTGATTCGATTTTTCGACAAAGCCTCCACAATCACATTTGCTGCGCTTCATTTGGAATGATATTGTACTATGCTTTATTCAAAAAAATTCTCGTTCGTTTCGTTCGCTTTAAATTTTCAATACGAATTACATCACACACTGTTCGGAATGTACGAAGTGACGGCAAATATTGCTACAAATCGAATAAATTGTGTAATTTGACACTTGACCTATTTTAACGCGAGCTTTGGCCATCCATAATGTTTGAGTTTGCAAATCTAATGGCATTATTATTCGAATTCACATAAGGGCTTAAATTGATTTTGCCACTAAAATAAAAACACAAACATGAACACGAACGGTGGGTTCAACCACTTGTCGCAGTTGGTTATCACATCGCCTTCTATGCCGACGCCGACGACGACGACGATGACAACGGCGGCGATTGCTATCGCCCACTCGAGCGACTTGTTACGCAAAAACCGTTTATTCTCTTTTTAACATTAATGTTATGCGGGTCTCGAAATTCCAGCTAACAACCACACTCAAATGATTTCATTGTGCGACATTTAAAGTTCAGCCGCTTTTTTTACTACCCAACCTTTTCAGATTTATCATATTTCGAAACAATAGTTTAAACACAAGGAATTGAAAATGGCCGAACAACAGAGACAATCGCTGTGTCCACGACTCATCGACTATTTAGCTATTGTTGGTTCGCGATCAGCAAACATTAAGCATCAAGGGAACGGCCAAAATCCACCAGTTCAGGTATGTTTTTCTTTCCTTTGTTGAATGGAAATTTTTTAGTTCGTTTTTAAATTTCATTTTCGATTTCATTGTAAAATCAACAACAACAAAAAAAAAACGTTTCTTCTATAAAATTGACGAGTTGAACGATTTTCCCCTTAAAATCATTGCAATATTAGAAAACATTTTCATTGAATGGTCGTGTCCCAATTCTGGGGACCGGTTCAATAACTTTAAAAGAAACCAGTCGAAGACCATTACTCAATTTTCCTTTATGCAGAAATCATTGTATTCGACTAACACTTGTGAAAGTTCAAACAATATTTGCTTCAATAGAACTCTCAATTATTAAATGATCGCCTAACGATAACTTCATTAAGTGCAATATTCCCAAACTATTAGATAACATATAGCTGTTACTACATTTGCATATCAGAAGAAGAGCAAAATCGCTTGCGATGCCACGTCAACAATATTGTCAGTTCGTTAAATCGGACGTTATACGATATGTATTCGCATTGACGTGTTGAAATTCGAGATACATGAACTGTGTTGATTCAATTCGGTTCTATTTCTATACATCAGCCTCATATTGCGCTGTTTTCATTCATGAAAAGAGAATGAGTACAAGCAAATATAATCCAAAATACAATCAATGCCCCCTCCCCGACCAGAAATTTGAGCGATGGATATGAATAGCAGCATTTGAGCAGCTTTAATCAGAAGCGGCTTATTAGCTGGAAAAAAAATTGTGTGGGAGATTGTTCGTGCATAATAAATAGAATTTTCAAGAACGATTTGCGTAAGCTTTAAATAATTTACGCATTAATTTCAACGATGGTTATTTGGTTCGCATCAACGATGGCAGCCAATCGAAACATACGACTTGAAAAGAGAATCAACTCAATTGAAAATGTTGTGAAATTTTCTGTGCAATGGAAATAAAATGAAATGGAATTGATTGTCATTCGATTGAATGAACACCAATTTGTAATGCAATAAGCGACGGCAGAGAAATTCCAGCATTCTATGCGATTGGCATATAGGTTTGTGTAACAGTTCGGTATTGATTGCGTGCTTATTTCTGAAGCTCCGCTCGTTCGTTGGGTGAAATGCACGTTCGGAATGAGCTACCATACATTTCAACATGAACCAATGTGTGCAATAAAACTGCTGAAGACTGAGCAAATATTACAGTTGCGTCATTTGCCAGTGTGCGGTGCAATCATATTCGAGGAATGGTCATACCAGATGCTTATCGGTAGTTTTCTATGGAAAGAATATGGAATGAATTCGATAAAAATCAATAGATGATATAATTCAACCGAACGATTCGATGCAAATGTTATTAAATTCGCTTTTTATTTGCTGTTTAACATTATCCTAATGAATACCGCCTTCGAATACCGATTTCCAATCGAAACTCTCTCTCCCTCCACTCTCTTTTTCTCTTCATCTCTCCGCTCATTTGTCTCTCGCTTCCTTCCTTTTTCTTCTCATCTGTTTATCTATCTTGCATTCTCTGTCAATCTATTTCCACTCGTTCTCTCTTCTTTTGTGAGTGTAATAAATACATTTGAAGGAGATTTTTTTTGCTCAAAATGATTTTCCATTCGGTAAACATTTAAAGTATACTTTTTCCGCTGGAAATTTGCATTCAAAAGTGGTTATTGTGAATTCAAAGCGTAAAAAGAGGCGGATGTTCGCAAAGCATTTGTACAAAACAAATGGTAAAATTGAGCAATAAAGGCGTAGTCACGACTGACAATTTGCATAGGAATTTGCACTCTGTGCCCGTGAGTGGTTTATCTCGCGTGTGCCTTAGCATGCACAAGAGAGCCAAAAGCATCATCATCATCGTTGACTTTATTGTAGGATGTTTATGACGTTTGTGTTTTTAACACATGACATTAGCATTGCTAAGCAACACCTTCGGATTGAATTCGCGTGGGAAAAAGATGAGAAACAGCAATAACACAAGCCAGTGTTTGGAGGCAGAAACGAAACAATTTGATCCTTTGTGTCCAATAAAACGAAATTACAATATATTTTTTGCTCGATAGACAATCGTACTTCTTGGAAGACGAAAAAGCCCAACAAAGCAAAGAAGATCAAGTAATAGAAAAGTTTTGTGATGAAAACCACCCCAAATCGAATTTCATTTTGTCAGGTATTATTTTTGGTTCATCAGTTGAATGTTTGAGTAAGCACATCAAAATCAAACTTTGACAGCAAAAATAATACGAATGAAAACCTCAGGAGGACACAAGAAGTAATCAAATTTAATCATAATTCAATAGGATTATTGGATGGCATTCAATGTTTGCTTTTGCGACAAGTTTTCATTTCGATATATTCTATTCGATCACATACATTCGATTGGACTCACTGTAAACTTTCAAGTTAACGACCGAGCAAGAGTAAAAACAAATGAAGGGATGACCCTCATTCGTTTTGTTGCTAGTCGATTCCATTTACTTGTTTTCGCTGATTGTATTACATAGGATTTGGCCTTAAAGCGAACTCAAGCGGATTTTAATGTAATTCTCGTGTTAGCTGCAGAAAAAAAGCACACTGCTTTCTTGTGTTTCACTTGTGATTAGTGTGGAGCAGAAGGAAAAACATGAATTCCCCAGAGAAAGAAAGGATCAAATAACAAAATTAAAACTTGATCGTTGATTTAGAAGCGATGCGAATTGCCTCACGAAACAATAATATTTTGCTTGCGTTTGGTCTCTTAATAAAAGAGAAAAAGAGTGGAAAAAAATTAATGATTTGTTTTTCTTTGCGATAACCAAATAGATTCCGGAGCTATTGCGTCGTTACCCACCCTACGACCATGCTGATTTTCCAATGCCATTGGATATGGTGTACTTTTGTCAACCCGAAGGTTGCATGAGTGTTGGCCCAAGACGAACTGGTACAGCCATACGCGAGGCGACATCATTTGTGTTCACACTAACGGACAAAGATTCAGGTAAAACACGGTTCGGCGTCTGTGTAAACTTTTATCGACCCGTCGAACGGTACGTTCCATCGGGTGGTGGTCCACAAAATGCAGCAAGTAGCACGTTGGCAAAACGGGCACGAAACTCGGCATTGCGTCGTGAATCATGGCGAAAGAGTATGGAAAAAAGTTCGGATTCTGCTTTTTCCAGGCAAGTACTTTCATCTCATTCATTCATTTATCTACCGTCTGTGAAACCTTTGCGTGTGTCACCAAATCCTTTGTAATCAGGTTAAATCATTAAAGTTGACAGAAGAAAGAAAAAAACACAGAATCGAATCAATTTAAAAAAGTCTTTTTGATATCAGCCGTGTGTATACTATAGCTATGGCATTTTGAATTCTTCCAGCGACTACAGGAGTAATATCGCACCAAGCGATTCAGATCGTGATTGTTCAAGCGGTCGACGTGATTCGGATACCGTATCAAATCGACATCATGTGTCTGGAACTTATGCGCCGCTACATCAAACGCCCCGTTTGGGAATCACAGCACCGAGCGCCGATTCAGAGTCAGGCGATGGAAGTCCTTCACCGTCACCACGCTCTTCGCGCCGTCGGACCAAAGTGCGAAACCATTCTTTGACATCATTGTGCCTCCTATCGCATCATCCATTCTTTAGCACATTCCGTGAATGTTTGTTCATCCTAAAGAAATTGATCGATGCATGCAACGAAGCTGCCAGTCCCAAAAGCGTCGGAGCATCACGGCAAAGTCCCAGGTACTATTATTATACATATATGTGACCGTACAAAAAGCACATTATAATCAAATATATAACTGTAATTAGACGTGATGATTTAACCACTGGGAATAGATAAATTCCGTTGAAATAACAAATCGATTTTCTGTTCTGTAAACTCTAAGCCAATAGAATCTATACTAAACCGAAGCTATCAATATTCATTTTGTTGTACATACAATTTGACTCACTTGATTGCTATCTATATCCGGTCCAATATACTGGACGCTATTTGGGTTTTCCATGATCTCGACGCAATTTCAACCTGTTGCACCATTTATAACCATTTAGCTATTTTTATTCATTTTAACACGCAACAATATAACCAACATGAAAATGCAAACAACAAATAAATGTTTCCCTCGCATTCCATTAGACCATTTTTATTGCCAGGGTATAAAAATAATAGAAGCATAAATTCAGATTTTTTCATTCTATTTGAGCCTGAAATGAACACACATTCCACGACTAAACAAGTGCACAGAATCATGTGAATGGTTTGGAGCGAAATTGTAATACAGAAAAGTTGAGCGGAAAAATGTCGATGATGAATGAGCGGAAAAGGGATAGCTATATAGTAAACTGTAAAAACAAAAAACTGTATAAACTGTGTAAACTATTAGACCAAGAGCTGTTGAACAAAGTACTATAAATACAAGCTTCATGTCAGATAATGAAATTGTAGGTGCATATTAAGGCCAATATTCAAAATATCATATTGTTTTATCTTCATTTGATACACGTCATAATATCTGCTCGCCGATAACAAGAAAAAAAATTTCTTCACTTTTCGTTCAAGCTTTATGGCAGAATTTTTGTTTACTGATAAATTCGTACGAGAATGATTCAAACACAAAAAATCTGCTCCAAACATTGTACACAACATTTTTTATTTCACATCAAAGTCTCATTCTATTCAAAGAAGTTATGTGTTTGTTATGCATTTCATCCATTTTGACATGATTACAACATAACCTCACTTCTTTGAATTGAATGAGACTTTGATGTGAAATAAAAAATGTTGTGTACAATGTTTGGAGCAGATTTTTTGTATTTGAATTATTCTCGTACGAATTTATCAGTACACAAAAATTCTGCCATAAAGCTTGAGCGAAAAGTGAAGAAATTTTTTTTCTTGTTATCGGCGAGCAGATATTGTGATGTGTATCAAATGAAGATAAAACAAATTGATATTTTGAATATTGGCATCAATGTGCACCTACAATTCCATTATCTGACATAAAGCTTGTATTTATAGTACTTTGTTCAACAGCTCTTGGTCTATATAGTGAACTATATAGCTATCCCTTTTGCATTTGACATTTTTCCGCTCAACTTTTCTGTATTACATTTTCGCTCCAAACCATTCATATTCAATATTTACACTGCGGGGAATTAAAAATAGATAAAACTGGCTAAGGGCAAGCGAAACAAGAAAATGCTGTTTCCAAGAATTCAAAGGGTTGTTCATTCGTCTCGTCAGCATCTGTAACTTTTGGACGCCAGATGAATCTAGCGAACATTTTATATCTCTCACATATTTTATACTATATATTCTGTTTTGTTGTATGGTTTAATCTCCGTATATAAAAATTTCTTCTGCGCTTAGACGTTTCTCATACTCACGCACAAAAAAAGCTTGATTCCAAGAATTTTAATGCTATTGTCGTTTTTGTTGAGGTTCGCATTAAAATGAAAGCATTTCTGCCAGAAACATCTAGAGAAAAGTTTTGCATTCAAGCTGTGAATCACCACGTTCACATGCAAAAAGTGAAACATTCCAAGTATAAGTTTCTTTTTAATCGAATACACGAAGTTTGAATACATTACGTAACGTAATCAATAAATTACTTCGGTAACAATCTGCTGTGAATATATATTCACACAGACTATGGCTTGTGTTCGTGCATAATGCGTGAGAATTGGGAGAAAAGTAGCACGCTCTAGCACGCTTCTTACGATGAAATGAGAAAATTGTGTGGCAATTTTATTAGTGTATTTACACTTCCTTATTGAGATGAAGAAGAAGAAGCAGTATTTTGTGGTAAATAATGCTTAACGTGAATTGTTACGTGTTCTATTCGCAGAGAGAATATTTGGTCGATTTTGAGCAGCCAATCAACAGAGCATACACCATCGATAGCATTGCATGATGTGAAGGAAATTGAAACGTGGATATTGAGACTGTTATCAGCGCCAGTGCCAGTACCAGGTTCGACAAGAATTGAATGTGAACTGTTGTCAGCCAGTATACACGATTCACTATTATTTGCATTGCCCGATCACACTCGTTTCTCTTTGGTCGATTTTCCACTTCATCTGCCACTCGAATTGCTCGGTGAGTTATTGAATCTTTCAATCGTCCGTCCAAGAGACTGATTAGTTTCGGATCCAAATCTATCTATCTCTAAGTAACAAGTGGATATGTTCACTTTCTAAATTGATACGTGACCATTTGATTTTGCACACAGGTGTTGACACATGCTTGAAAATCTTGACGTTAATTCTACTCGAGAACAAAGTTCTGTTTCAATCAAGGGATTACAATGCATTATCGATGTCAGTCATATCATTCGTTACAATGATTTATCCGCTCGAATACATGTTTCCAGTCATTCCATTGTTACCGACATGTATGTCTTGCGCCGAACAATTGTTACTTGCTCCAACACCTTTTGTTATCGGCATACCCGCATCGTTTCTCATGTACAAAAAGAATTTCAGGTTTGTAAACATTATTTTCTGGGTTGCTGTTGTAGTTGTTGCGGTTCAAAACCAATTTCAGTTTGTGATTTGTTGTGCTATATGTTTACTATTAGGTTGCCCGACGATATTTGGCTGGTTGATCTTGATTCAAACAAACTCTCACCGCCCACTGGTTCAAACGAAGGGATTCCAGTGCTGCCTGAGCCCGAAGGCACGATTCTTCGCAGTCATCTTCACCAGGTATAAAATCATTTTTTTGCTAAGCACTTTACTATTTCAGTCGAATTTTTTTTTTGTGCGGTTTCTTCGCATCAATGTGTCTCTGAACTTCAAGAATTTATCAAAACATTTCTTTCTTCTACTCGATATGTGATTCAACGGAAATGCCTCTTCGAAATCTAATAAAAACTTGAATATAATTTTGTTTTTCTAACTCCAACACTCTTTCCTTTAATTCGGTCACGCGATGTTCTTATTTTCTTACTTTTGTTTTTTTTTTTTTTTTTATTCCCACCGACTTGCAAGCGAATGCTAAACACAAGATACGTTTTATTTTCATTTTGCATTTCAGCGCAACATTTTTATATTGGCTTAAGTGTGATTTTCTCTTTCTACTTCTCTTCTCGTTTTCTTTTCTTTCTTTCTTTCTTGTTCACTTCTTGATGTCATACTTTTGAAACCAAAAAAAAAAAATTATTCACAATCATATCAGGCTTTGCAACTAATGGATCAAGCTGGAGCTGGTGTAAATATTCAATTGCTATTAATAAACCACAGTTTTTGTTTTGTAGATTGGTTGATAAATGAAGACTCCCACGTAGATTTGTTGTTTGATCAGCGTCCATTTTTGGTTATTTTTGAAATGGAAGTCTAATCAGAATCTGATTTTCAGAATTTTCGAGGGGAAAAAATACCCAAAAATATTTGTTGCCCGTTATTCGTATGTTTTTTCTTTATTTTTGCATGCTCTTTTCTAAAAAGTATCTTTTTTTTTCTTCATAAATTATGCATTATGTCAAGAGATTTTATATGCTTTTTGTGATCCTTTTTGTTTTCCTCTACTCTCTACTTTTTATCTTCTGTTTGTTTCGACTTTTTTTTTGTTTTCATCAAATTTTATTTGTCCTGTAGCAGCACCTTTTTTTTGCTGAGAGTTCTTTGCTTCGATATTTCTTGATGTGATAATAAGATTAGAAATTCAATTTTAGGCATTGAGTTCGATGTCGCCGAATAACCAAAATGCATTTACTGGGCCAACTCTTGCTTCAGCTAGAGAAAGCTTAATGTCACCACAAATTTTGAGGTGAGAAAATTTTTACGAAATTTTTTTATTCCTAACGATAATTTTCCTAACGTTGACATTTTCATCAACTTGAAGAAAAAAAAATCAATTCAAAAGAAAAAAAAACTAAACGAATCACCTTCAAAAAATTGTTACGTTTCCAGTCCTCGATTATCAATTCAAGAAGGAATGTCATCAAACAACTCGAGTCAGCGACCATCGATTTTATCGCAAGGAACGCCGCGAATATTGAGCCCCGCATCGCAGTTGCCACCAGCAATGAATCCATTCATTTGTGGCAGCGATGTTGATTCAGTAGATGTTGCAACACGAGTAGCTATGGTGCGATTTTTCAACTCTCAGAATACTCTTGCCAATTTCACCGAACATACGCGAACATTGCGGTTATATCCACGTCCAGTTGTTGCATTCCAAATAAATAGCTTCTTGAGATCACGTCCGCGAGCTTCGAATTTCTTAAATCGATTCGCTCGCACGCAAGCCGTCGAATTTCTCGCTGAATGGTCGTTGACGCCAACGAATGTAGCCTTTTTACGCGTTCAGACCGGATTGCTGGATCCAACGCAAATCGGTGACAAAGCCAAATGGTTTGCGCATACACTCACTCCAATACGATTTACATGCTGGGATGACAGTAGCTCAATAAATACGGCACTAAAAAGCTTGCAACAACTAGAAAGTCAACCAACCGATGAAAGTGGTTCGGATTCAGAGGGAGCGGATAGCACAAGCTCTTCGTATTCATCGCTAAGCGATTTCGTTTCCGAAATGCATTCATCAGATCTTTCGCCAAGCATTAGTGATATTTATGGATCGCATTCACATCAACACTATCATCCGCAAACATTGTCTTCGAACTTGGACACAAAATTGGTATACAGGCCACCCAGTTCGTTACGTTTTCCAGAAGGGATGGAGCCACGAGGCCAACCAACCGACTCTCGGCCAGACTCACCGCAATCCGACGATTCATCCGAGTGTGAATCGGATTTGAGTTCGCCAAGTTTCAACAAAGATTCCGATTTTGATTTTGCCACTCAAGCAAAGGATGTGATCGAAGCCGAACCAAGTCGTGATAATATTTTAGCAATGGCACCACCTGGAGCGGATAGTTTTGAGAATGAATCCGATTCCAATTCAACTGTTACGACCAAAACCATTTTGCCATCATCAAAAGACAATTCACCAGCGGAGAGTGGTGAAAAGAGTGCACGAATTCGAGCACCACCAAAACCGGTAAATATTTTTCAATTCCATTGTTCCATCGCTTTTACTTGAATTGGCCGCACACATTCATTTTCATAGATATCGCCATTGAGTACATCACTCACACGACAACCAAGCGTTGGCAATGTATTGGCACGAACATCAAGCTCTGGCTCAGCCAGTTCAACCGTAGGTAGTCCACACCCATCACTCGGTTCGGCTAGTTCGAATCGGCAAAGTTCACAAGGATCACTGTTCGAACAATTTGCAACACAAGCTAAAGAATTGGTGAAAGAAACGAAACGTCAAAGCAGCCAAGATGGCTTATTAGCTCAAGTAGATAAAGTAAGCATAATCATAATCATTTTTCAAACCATGCCAATATATTCTTGTTGTGTTGTATGTAATTTGTGTGAAAACAAAAACCATTATGTTCTCCCATTCCGATTGGCACTATGCATATGTGTGCGTGTCTGTCTGTCTGTCTGTATACTGAATCGATTTGGTTCACGATTGATTGTTTCCATTTTACCCTTGAAATGACCATGATGTTTTCGTTGTACAGTTCAAAACTCAAGCCAAGGAAAAGTTTGTTGAAGAAGAAGCTAAAATTTTGGCTCCATTAGAGCAGGTTTGTACATACCGATATTTGCGTGGCACATGATTTCTCTATAGCAGCACTTTGTATACATTTGTTTGCATGCTTCGTTCCCTTCGTTATTGTAGACTGATGATAAGTTCATTGTAGAATTTTGGGATTTCTCTTTTTCGTTTCTAGTCTTCACAGAGCTAATTTGATGTGACACTAATTTTATTTCGAAATATTTCAGTTGACACTGCATGCGAAGAAAGCGGCTGAAGATGCATCGAAACAGGCACTGCATGCATCACAAAAAGCGGCCGATGCTAGCAAAAATACATTCGAAGATTTAACTTATGTGGGCAAATCGACGATTGGTGATTTAACGAAGACAGCCAAAGAGGCAGCCACAAAGAAAGGTCTTATGAAGGCAGACAATAATAATCAGGCGCAAAGACAATATTCACCACCATCGTCGGTGCATCAACAACAACAATATCAGCAGCAGCAACAAAAACAGCAGCCAACTGGCAATGCATTGGTCACACATACTGGCGGCCGTGACTTCTTTTCATCGTTCAGCAGTGAAATTAATGGAATCGCTTCATCGACGTCTTCCATTTTTTCTGATTTATTCGGAAAGAGTAAGTTATCCACTGACCAAACCAAGTCAAGGTTTGAACTCATTTTATGCATTGAATTTAATTTAATTACATTTCTCTTCCTCCCGGTCAAATAGAACAAAACAACCAGCAAAATGTGAATCAACAGCAGCAACAGAAAACCACAAAAGAAAAATTGTTGCCATTTGATTCGTTTCCTGGTCGTAAGGCATTGGTGGAGCGCACTCCATTAATTAAACATGCTGGACCACGACAAACGCAAGAAGAACTTCAACGGCAACAGAATGCCGAACGATCGTCAAGCAATTCAGAGAATCAAGCATTTTTGAAAGATGTTTGTGCTCAGGTGTTGAATGGCGAAGGCGTTGGTTGGCTGAAATTGAATCGACTGCGAAAACTAATGGAGGATGAATCATATCGAATGTTAGTGGTAGGCAAATTGAATCGGACGCTTGATAAGAAAATCGCACCCGATGATCATATCGATGATGTGTGTGTACCGAAGCCCATTTGGCGTGGAATACTGAAGTGCATGCAAGCCGTTGCGCATGGATTGGAAGTAACATACTCCAATTTTGGGCTCGGTGGCATGGCTTCAGTGTTTCAGTTGATGGAAATCGCTCACACTCATTACTGGAGCAAAGATTTTCATGAGGGAAGTGAACACGCATCAACGTCGTTGCTCTCGAGTCAGGTAGGAAAATGGACATTGTTGGAAAATCATGAATGAATTGAATTCACAAAATCTTAACACTTTCATCAATTCTCACATTGAATCTATAATTCAGACGGTAAGTCCATTGGGAAGTCACGAGAATCTGCATTCGCCTCAAAGTCCAGAAGGTCAACGCTACGACTGGACACGAAAGAATTCACTGATGGCTGATTCAGGAATGACCAATCGGCGCATTTCACACGACGATGGACAAGATCAGAAGCAATCAACAACCGACATGTTCAAAGATATGCTATCGCAGAAGCGAAGCATGATCATGAGCAAGCTCACATCATTCGATACAGATGTAAGTTTCCATTTCGCATATCAAAATACGTTTTTCGAGTGGTTTAGTGTATTGAAATAACTGTTTTGGCTCAAAATCATGTTTGGAAGAGGAACAAAAATTTGAACGAACAAGAAAAAGAAAACAAAATTAAACACGATGATTAGATCCAAAATTGATTCGATTGGCTTTTGAATAGAGTATTCAATGGTGCATCAATTGAGTTTTATTTTGTACATGTTTTTCGTTGTCATAAATGTGTCGTTTAAATGCCAATAGGCCACAGTGGTGCATGGTTCAGCCGGAGCAATATCCGTTGCAAGCGATGGACATATGTCCCATGCGGTGAGCGGTGGCGGCGGTCTCATACCATCAATATCGTGCCGTTCAACCGTCTCAGATACCGAATACGAAAATGTAAGTGACGGCGTAACATTTGAGACGCTATCTCGGTATAAGGAGTTGAATGCTTTTCGTTCCAAGAAAAAAAAATTGATCGATGTTTTAGACGCAAATATTTAAATAGCCAATCAAAATGTAAATATCCAAATTGAACCGCTTCTGGAAAGCTTATGTGTTTGGACCGAAAATTCAAAAAAAAAATTGGACTTTTTACAGTTTCGAATTGTATGAGAACAAAAAAATTCAACCAAAATCAGCGAGTTAAAGATAGCATGCATATTATTTTTCCGTTATTTGATATCTATTAATCCAATTCATTAATATGATATATCCAAGGGAAACTGCTTGGTTTGCATGAACGCCAAATAGATTTGTTATTTCTTTCAAACATTTTCTAATCGATTGCGATTAATTTTCATAGTACCCAAAGCACATGAACGTGCCAAAGGAGAGCAAAAGTCGGTCGAGCAGCATTTTTTCGGGTAAAAGAAATTTCTCACTTGCTTTTCGTTGTCCCGGTGGTCACTTAATTAATTCATCATCTCCTTCACCAGATGCACCACGAGTCTATATTTACGAAGGAATGCTCGGCAAAGAAAGGTAAGTTCAATCGTCTCTTTCTATATATTCTTGGCTTTTGTTAACCGTTCTTCCATTTTTACGCTGCCATTAGGTCGAATCTATGGGATCAGATGCAGTTCTGGGAAGATGCATTCTTGGATGCGGTTAGTCAGGAGCGTGATATGGTCGGTATGGATCAAGGACCAAGTGAAATGATGGAACGTTACAAATCTTTGAGCGATTCGGAACGCAAACGACTCGAACACGACGAAGATCGGTTACTTTCAACGATGCTGTTCAATTTAACGGCTGAACTTGTCATGATGAACGTACAGAAAGAGGAACTCAAACGCAAAGTGCGTCGTTTGCTGGGCAAAAGTCACATTGGCATTGTATACTCGCAAGAAGTACACGATCTGCTCGATCAAATCACGAATTTGGTAAGTTCAATCTTAATCAAAAGCACCCACAAATTGTACAGTTGAACTCAATTGATTATATGCCTTGTGCATTTTTAGAGTGGCAATGATATCGATCTAAAACCGCTTGGTTCGCGTATGTTGCATCGTCAAAGTTTCACTGTGAATCAAGGCGTCGATGCAACCGGACCGTTACGTTTTATGGAAGTTCGGGATGATGGTTTGGTATTACGTTCCGTCACTGGTGCTATAGTGGAACGCTGGTGGTATGAACGGCTCATAAATATGACCTATTCACCAAAGACAAAAGTCCTGTGTTTGTGGCGTCGAAACGGTGGCCAAACACAGCTACACAAATACTATACTAGAAAGGTACGACTCATTTACTCTTCTCAATAAACACTTAATTTTCCAAGTAAACGTCGAATTTACATCTGTACAATGAAATTCATCCTTTTCCCCATCGTTCCAGTGCAAGGAGCTGTACAATTGCATTAAAGGTGCTATGGAACGTGGTGGAATACCAGCAAATATCCCCGAATTGGGCGGAGAATTTCCCGTACAAGATATGACAACTGGCGAAGGTGGCTTATTGCAAGTTTGCCTCGAAGGTGTCGGTTTATTGTTTGCCAATAGCAAAGTAAGATGAAATCGTTTCAAAACTTCAGCTTTATTTTTTGATTCAAATAATTTCAAATCGAAAAAAAATATTTCAAAATGCAAAACTAAATGTTAGATTAGGCTTATTTTATTTCCGAATTTCGTTTCAATTTGATTTGGTTTCGTTTCAGTATGAGACTTTTGAATTGAACAAAAGAAAACAGAGCTTTTTTTGTTAACGAAAGAAAAAACATTTCACTCTGTTGGTATTTAATGTGATTTGATGGATTTGTCATTCAATTGTCCATCGTCCGACAGTACGCAACAATTTGAAAATGCTCTGTCATCACCTTTTTTGATCATTGAAACCATTTTTTTTTGTTGACAACAACAAAAATGAAGAAACAAAAAGAAAACCGAATAATAGAAATGAAACAAGGACCTTCTCCATAGACAGAGTTACAGATTTAGCTGTATATCCATTGATTGCAATTTTATTTTCTTCTAGGCCTTATTTTCCTTTTCATTTCAGTACAAGTCTTTCATTTTAATTTTGCTTCATCATAATTTTCAAATGCAATTTCGGGAAAGAAACAAAAAACTAATACTATGAAAAGAAACTACTACTATTGACTCTATGCATGCTAAAATGCAGCAAAATAATCTAATAACTCTTTTAAAAAAATATATCCATTGAAACCAGAAAATAAACAATTAGTTGACAGCTAAATAGAATCATTCTTTCTTACGTATAAAACAAAAGCATGATACATCAATATATACTCATCATTTTGTCCATTTTTCTGTTTGGTTATGTTTTGAAAGAGGCGCGCGCATTTCAGCCAAATTATTGTTATTCAAATCGAAATATATAACCTTATAAAATCTTACTCATGTTATTCATATCTATAACACAATAACGTCAACGCATCCGTCTATTCATTCATCAACATTTGTTTCGTTTCACTTCATCATTCCTTTCTTCTCATATGACTCGTTTCAGTTTTTTTTTCTTTTTCATCGATATGAAAAAAATTTATATTTTTTACAATAAGAAAAAAAAAAACTAAATTACTCCTTAAACGAATCAATCATCAATTCTAAATTATTTCCAATTGTGTTTGATGTTTGTATGCGTGAACTTTTTTATAATAATTCAGGATTAAGTGAATACTCCATTCAACTCTGTTTCAATTCATTATTTTGTCTATCCAATCATACTTTATTTCTTTGTCTATTGATAAGTTTTTATTAAAAACCATTCCATATCAATTCATCTCAAGATATCAGATAAGACTGCATGCTGTCAACCCTTTTTTGAACTCTCTTTTACTTCTTTATTTCATTTTCTATCGGAATTCATTTTGCAAAAGAATTCCTCAAATTTCTTCTTCAAATAAGTAAAAAGCGACAAAAAAAATTCTCAAAATCTATTGATATTATGCATAGCATACTCATACAATTCGAATTTTCAATAATAACAACTTCATGGTTGGATAGCTTTTACGGTTTTTTTTGTCGTTTTTTAAATAAAGTTCTTATCAAATATTTACAAATTGAGTGAAATCCAAAAAGCTAATTGGTGAGATAGGAAGAGAAAGAGAAAGTTCAGGCCAAACTCTGTTTTCCCACGACATTAATTCCATTCTAATCCAAAAATAAACAAATGGATTTGTCTGTATGTGTACCTTAAAATGAAACGGAATCACCGAAAAAGAAAAAAAAACCACCTAATTATTAAGGAAGAGAGAGCGAGAGAGAGCGAGAGAGAGAGAGAGAAGAAAATTGTGTGAAGATCTATCACCTGTGTTTGTGAGTGGTTATGCTATGGATTGTATTCAATTGAGTTTTAAAATTGGTCTCATCAAATTATATAATCGATATTTTTTTCTTTTTCTTTTCTTCTTGTTGTTCTTCTTTTCTTTCACGGCAATGATTTTTCTCGATTTGTTCCCTTTTCCGTTTTCCGTTTTCTCGGTTCGTTCTCCTTTTGCCACATGTTTTTTGTTTTTCGTTTTGTTTAGTAACTTTTGAGATGGTCCTTGGAAAAGCATTAAATACTGACTGAATAAAATGAATGCGAACATTTTGTTTGGTGCAAACAAAATGTGATTCATTTTCATTATTTTGATATGTTAGATTGAGACAAACAAAAAATATGAAAGATAGCTGAAAAAAAAATGATACTGTACTCTTTAGTTTGGAATTTTTGTGTTTGATTTTTACTTGGCTTTTCGGTTATTTGTTAGTTTACTTTTTTGGAAATTGTTTCTAAACAAAATTTTATGACTATGCAACAAAAACAAAATCAACAAAACCAATTTTTTATACTAACATTGTGTATTTTTAATTTGAATATTCGAATGTGCCAAATGTGCTGCCGCTGAATCTTCGATACAATTATCAAACTAAACACACACACACACAAACACACATACAAAAACTTGCAAAATCAAAATGAAATTTTGAACAAACCAAAACAAAAACACAAAACCATACCAAAAAAACACAAAAATTAAATCGGACTGGTCGCCTTCGTTCATGTTGTTCTCCTCAACCGGTGTACACTTTGATACGTTACGCAAAACGTTCATTCAAAATAAAAACCCTTCCAAAAACCAAATTGTCCGTAAAGGATTTCGAGGTATAACAAAACAAAACTATTTTCTTCATTATTATTTGTTCGTTTTTTTTAATTTTAGTTAGTTGATGTACAATGAACATATATAGCAAAAGAAAAGTTTGTTTTGAAATGAGAGAAATTATACAGAAAAAAAAATTAGCAAAATTTAAACAACAACAACAACAACAACAACAAAATACATATCTAAAAAATAGAATAAAACACATACACACACATACATTGAGATACATTTAACAGTCATGCTCGTCCCCTTCCCGTCCAAAAAACAACAACAACAACAACAAATTTAGATACAACACGCTTACAACACACTCACATTCACCCGAGAGATTGAAAGATCGCAAATCAATGCGAAAATTGTCATCTCAATCGATCGAATCGAAAATGAATCACAACATAAAATCCTCCCCCCCCATATCACACATATACTACACATGTACCCAGGCAAATACCGTTATGTTCGTATATTGACGATCGTGAATAACATTTTGTTTATCTCATTTGTTCCTCAATTTTTTTCGTTGGTATTTATTGTAATGTAATTTTGTTCGAGCGTCAAACAGCAACACAATCAATTTATTTATTGCATAGCGATTTCCTATGATCACATTGTAGATTTCTGTGTTGACCAATTTTCCGTTCTTTTAGTTACTATTCACTAGATAAATCGTTAGAGCGCATTAACTCTTTCGTTTTTTTTTGTTTTTTTTTCTTCGTCTCTGGTTCTCGAGAGCCGGGACCGGGACAACACTGCTGCTTGAATGAAGTCACAAATTAGTGCCAGATTGTACAAAATAAAACCACCACAACAAAATCTTAGAGGTCTTAGACTGTACTTGTAATTAGTAAAGCCGTTATTGTTGCTATATATTTATCGAATCAGTGAACGAGTTTGAGTTTGTTCTCTTTGGTTTTTGTGATATTTCTTTTACTGCCAACAAAAAAAAAGCAGTTGCCGTTTTGCGTTGAATTGTAAAAAGTTGAATGAATTAGACTATTACTATATCGTAGAAATCACTCACCAGATCTATCAAAGCGAATTTTTATCATTTTAACTCTGTAGCTAAACTGTTCGAAAACAACAACAACAACAACAACAAAAATATTGAAAACAAATGCCTACCACATTTAGAGTTGAACGGAAGTGCTTTCGTTCATGTTTCAAATTGACGCATATTTCGTAGAGAACATGCATGTACACTGAACTGATTTGCAAATGAACATTTAGAGTTTTGTTTTTGGCCATAATCTATTTATACAATATTCATTTAATTTCCGTTGAGAGTTTTATACACGTTTTTTCATTTCGACTTTCATACAACGAACTAAACGAAGAAAAAAAGAAATGAACTCAGTTTTCAACTAAAATTGTATGAAATTCGTTCGAGAAAAACAAAAGTTCAAAATTTATTTTATCTTTCCAAATACGAAAAAAAAGACCATCGATCCCCATTCAAAAACTGAATGAATTGTTTAGAATAAAAGAAAACTAGTCACAGTTTTTAAATTCCATACATTATTGGTTCCGACTGAAATAAAAGAACGAAACAAATTATTGTGAATCTTTTCAAGACCATCTCATAAGTGCTAACTAACACTGTATCATTTTGTTTTTCAATAGATTGTACTTAGATTTTATTTCACTTGAAAACAACAAGAAGATAAACATGATCCAATTTAAGTTTTGCTTGCCCTTTTCCTAGATCCAAGCTATTTTGCCAAAATTCCATTGCTTAAAATCATTTTTGCCGTTCGCTTTTCTGTTTGTTGCTTCTTTTTCTTTTTCTTTCGTTGTCATTATTCCGAATTGTCTGCACAACGCTTCGCTGAATTCCATTATAGCGAATGTATGAATCGTAGTTTGTAGTGTTGATTTTTGTGGCTGCTTTCTTGAATAACTTAAAAAAAAATGGAATTTCATTTCCATTGCCTTTGTATTCAGCTTTGGCTTGGTCAGTGTGTATGAGCAATAAACAAACACAACACTTTTCATCAGGAAAATATAGAACATACCAAATATTGTGCCGTCTATGAAAAAAAAACACCACGTTGAAAAAACACTGTACATTTTTTGCTTTAGCTTTTGTAATTGCTTGCGAACAATATAAAACAATCAAACAAATCTCATTCAAATCGAAACACAGGACAAAACAAACGATTTTTTAATATTTTGCTTTAGTAATATTTCATACAAACAAACATATATTCAGTCTCATAAGCAATACAATGCGATAGGATTTTAGACCATTTTTTTTCTTCATTTTTTGTTTTATTTCATTTGTTTTGCTTACCACGTAAACTTGATTCAAATGAAATAAATGCCGTGTTAATTTTTCACAGTTTTTCGTACGATTGGACCATATTCGCAAGTGTTTCACGCAGAAAGGTGGCATTTTCATTCTAGAAGAATTCAGTAAGTTTTAGACATAACCACAAGTGTTGATTCTCTTGTTCTTTATAAGAAATCGCTTGTTGTTTTCTTTTTTGTAAACACCAAAGAGGATGGGGCAGTGCCCTGATGCATTTTATAATGGGTACAATTGTATCGTTGTCATTTTCTATGAAAAGCATCTCTCAAATGATCACACGGCCATATGTGACCGTAACAGTGTCTTTCTAACGGCCAATTGTCCCGTCCACTATTTAATTCATTTATTTCATCAACAAAATCTGATAACAATATTTCTTTCCACCAGATCCAAAAACCAGACAGATTGTTCAACGAAAATATATGTCATCAATGGTAAGTCGGTCGTATGGTTTTCATTTCATGTCACTGTTTTCGATAAGCATGCCAAAAAGAATGTAGTTTTACTGGAAAATCCATTGGTTTTTCAATGAAATTTCTTTTTATTCGTTTATTTTTGAATCACAATCATTAATTGAATGTTGTTATTTTTTCCCATCACTTTGTGACGTCTGAATTATAATCGATTGTCGTATTGTGAATAAATGCAGGCACCTGATATGGCACTAAGCCTTCATCGCATTTTTTCCATTTGCTTGACTCAAAAACTGAACGCAAATAATCATAAGACCATGTGATTTTATTTAACTCTTATTCTATTTTCGATTTGATTTTTTATTCGTTTTTAATTGTACAATGTCAATTGTTTTCGCATGTGATTGAATAATAAAGAGCGAATTTCTATTCTATATTTAAATAAAAGCAACCAATTTATTACACATCAAAGCGATTTTACTTTGTAAATATGTGATTTGTTCATCAGCAAACAAGAACACCAACACCAAAAACATTACACACCAGCAAACATACATACACATCAAATGACACTATTCACCAAAAACACAACCACTTTTACCTTTGTTTTTGTTCGTATTTGTACATTTTTCTATTATTATGCTGTGTATTGTGTGTGATTTTTCTATTCTCTGTAAGTTCATTCGATTGTTGCATTCACTAGAGCGATCCGTTCTCAATATGCTTTACCCGATTCAAATTCAAATGTTGATAATCATTTTGTTTTTCCTGAAATGCAAAAGGCCGACCAGATCGCATATTCGGTGCTGTGCGTTTTTTCGTACGTTGCCGCTGGACAGGAGCAGAAGAAGACCTTAAATGCACACAAGGTATTCGAACAACCGAAACAAACCAATCCCACGATACATAGCTCACCAGCACCGCAAATTGGTAAAAGAATTTCCCACATTTTTGTTTAAAAAAAAGACAACAAGAAAAAGCTTGAGATTTTTTTCTTGAAAATTGTAATGAATTGAAGTGAAGATGTGAACATCAACTAAATTGAAATATTGATTGAAGATTCATTTGACACCCATAGAATGAAAAAAGAACTTCTGAACTCTTTGCCGATAAATGAAACGAAAAAAAACTTAGAGCAAAAAAGAAACAAATGAAGTTGCGAGCAAAAGTGATACAAGTAGCCATTGAGCGAAAAACACGTTTTTCTCATTTTTCTCGCTACTGGAAAAAGATAGCGATTAGGTGTTTCGATAATATTGTAGAAAATGGAAATAACTACAAATAAGCCGAAGACACCTAGTCGCTGTCTTTTCTCAGTAGCGAGAAAAATGAGAAAAACGTGTTTTCCGCTCAATGCCCACTTGTGTTACTTTTGCTCGCAACTTCATTTGTTTCTTTTTTGCTCTAAGTTTTTTTTCGTTTTATTTATCGGCAAAGAGTTCAGAAGTTGTTATTTTGTTCTTAGGATGTCATTTAAACCAAACGAAATACCCAATATTGACCACTAATGTGAGCATGCTTCATCTGTTGATTTCATTGCAGCCATAAATGCGCAATCGACACAGCCAGTTGCAAGCAATAATGTTTCGATCAAAGCGGCACAACCGCAAGTAAAGCCGCGAATTGTGAATGTTCAAGCGCCGCAAAAGCCAATAACATCCGTTTCGGCCGTTCAACCTCAAACAAATCCAATACAAAGTTCCATAACACAAACCATATCAAATGCGACCACAGCAATTCTGCAACGAACATCGAGCATCACGTCAAAAGTGACAACATCAGCATCGGATCAAGGTAAAAGTAGGCCACCGCCCGAAATACCACCCAGACTTCCGTCACAAAGCTCTATAACAAGTACAACGCGTGGTCCACCACCAGCGATTCCTCCACGAAACAACGTACCTGCACCGATACGTTCCTCATCGATCCAAGTGACGAGTTCGGCTCCATTGAATCGACCGGCTTTAGCACGTCAAACATCGGCCCATTCAATACCACAGCCACAGTGCACTCGGCAGCCAGCTCCAAAGTTTGTGATTCCACAACGACAAAACTCACGCACATCACTAACTCGATCGGGTTCCAATGAGCTTCATGACTAAAAAGAGATTACGCATATAGGCTCATATATTTTGAGCTCGTAAAAGCTTTGGTTACAACTATTTATGCAACTGGAAGGAGACAAAGGAGAAATACAATAAGAAAATATCCTATGATAAGCAGACAAAATAGCAATATATTTCGATGGTTGAGTAATTTTGTTGTTTTAGCGAATGATAGTTTAGTCTTAAGCATTCAATATTACATTTATTCCAGGAGAATGATGGTGCATTATTATTAAATCCATAGAGAAAAGTTGTAAAAAAGAGAAAATAAAATACACCTTCAGAATAAGTCATGTGAAGAGAACAAAGTAAAGCTTTCAATGAGTGAGGAATTTCGTTTTATTTATTCTTCGTTGTTGTGATTTGTTTATTGCATATTTCATTTTTCATTTTTCATCTTCCGTTCAGATTTAAATCGTTGAAAGATCTATCGAACAGATGCAAACTATTTTGTGAGTGCTTCGAATGTTCGATATTCCACACTCGATCTAGAACATCGATTTAATAGAATTTATTGTAGCGCAACGACCAAATACATATGGTTATGAACGGCACTGTAACAACTATCAAATCATAACACCAAACAAAATGCGCCCAGCCCATGAACATAAATCAAATTGTGTTAAGTTGAAATAAAATTGTTATCAGAATTAAATTGAGTTTATTCGAACAGAAGAAATATCAATAAAAGCCAGACGCAAAACTTCAGTCACAGAAGAATGATCCGTGTTTTGTTTCCTCTTTATTCACTTAAATTTTAAAATGGAGCTCAATAGTCAAGCTTTCACTGAATCTCGTTAAGATTGCCTAAAGAGCTAAGGGTATGTGTTTTTTGTAACAATAATTTTGTCATAAGACGTCATAGATGTCGGGTCAATGACACCTCTTCAACAGATTGAAAATATTATCCGTATCAGTGAAAAAGTCAGATTACTCGAGAAAAAATCCAAGAGTAGTTACTAGGATCAACTCAATCCACTCAATCGATGAGAAATTTCAGTTTTTATTTTCGCATTCCTGATTCAATTTCACTTTTGGTTTAGTCTTCGCTTTCACCAAATATACAATCGTACACTTTCGAATGGATCGAACCAAATTATTTCCGAATTGTGTTGTAGAATTCCGACAGAGGTTGCAACCGTTCAGTTATCTTTCGAACAAACTCAGAGAAAATACATTGATTCATATGGACACTGAATGTACAGAATGTGACAAAATCGAAACAAGTGAAAATATTCATGAACTAACATGTAATCACAAAGTTTCTATCTTAATTCCATTGAAGAACACAACAACAACGCCTGAAAGTAGTCAAAATTGCAAGTTTCAATCATTTTAACATGAATAAACATGTAAAGCACGTACACATTTCTGTGACGTAAAAAGTCTCATGCTATCGGATCGTGACTCAGATTATTACACGAATGCATTGAATATTCGATGCTTTGCACTCGTTCAAAAACAACGATTTAATATTTTGTTTCTGTGAGAATTTAAGAAATATCAATAAAAGCCAGTCAAAACATCTGTTACAGAAGTATATTTTTATCAAAATTTCTTCATCAAGCCTGCTGTGGTTGTATCTTCGACCCGTTTGCAAATTTAATCGATATATTTTTTATGTAGACAGCTTTAAAAATAATTATTACAAAGAAACACTTGCTCATTACAAAACAATGCTCACTTTTTATTGAATTCAATCGTGTACGAGCACAATTTTATGAACTGGTTGACCAGTCGTATTGGAGCTTTTTAACTGAAAACTGTTTCTGAGCAAATTGTTATCTGTTTGAAATTTTAGCATGAAGAGATTTGCGTTTAGCTTGTAAGTAAGTTAGGTTTAAATCGAAGTGACAATATACTTGCCGTGAAAACTCATCTCATGAGGAACAACATTCGTTATTGCGTTGTTTTAATAAACACCATTATTTTACATTATTGTCATTTCTGTTTTGATGCGATTTTTTCCATGCACAAATAGATTGAAATGTCACCCAAAGTGTTCGGCAATATTTCTACAGCGAATCAAAGTAATCCCTGTGATTGTTGTACTGTTTTGCGTTGGTATAATTTGGATTTGGATGGAATCCGCTAGAAAACCTGCGGACATCGTTTATTGCACTGTTAATGACGAGTTGCGTTATAAACTTAAACTAGAGAATCTGGTGAGTACAACAAATTGGCAAACACACAATTTTGATAACTGAATTCTCCATTAGGATGTGCCGATCGTAGCTGATGCGAGTCCTCGTAATGGAAATCCACCAGAACAAAGATTGGTGCATCTCGATTTAAAAGGAGCTCCACCGAAGATAGCTTATCTGAAGCGTTTATTGCCGATGTTAAAAGTTCTTGGTGCAACCGGATTGTTAATCGAGTACGAAGACATGTTCCCATACCAAAAGCCTATCGAACATCTTTCCGCAACAAATGCATATAGCAGAGCTGAAGTGCGTGAGCTACTTAAGGCTGCAACGTGTAAATTTTTTGTGCTTCTTTTCTGTTGATTTGTTCCAATTCCGAAAATTCAGAAAGTACCCGTATGAACCATTGGCGACGATTGCACAGCGGAGCTGTGCGGAGTTCGGCGGAGATACCGTAAATACGCTATAAGTACGAGCAAAACAGCACACTTTGCTGTGTTTACATTTCTATTGTTCAATACACATCAAAGTAGCCATAGACGCACTGCTTCAGATATAGCGTATACATGTATGAGAACTCTGCCGAACTCTGCACAGCTCCGTTGTGCACTGAATTTCTCGCAAATGGTTCATTTGGGTAATAACTTTTATGAGAACTAATCGTTCATCTTTCCGAAAACAGGGGCCGGCTTAAGCGTAATGCCATTGGTTCAAACGTTCGGGCATATGGAATTTGCATTAAAACATGAACAATATTTAAATCTACGTGAAACAATCTCATCACCCGACTCAATCTGTCCAAATCGAAAGGAATCAATGGATTTGATCGAACAAATGCTCATGCAAATAATCGAAATGCATTTACCGATCGAAGAAGACGGATTAGTTTGGCCGAAATTTTCACACTTGCACATTGGATGTGATGAAGTTTATAACATGGGTCAATGTTCACGATGTAAATCAAAGAGTAAGCATCATTTGTTCGTATCACACATCAAAAAGGTTACCACTGTCATTCGAAATCGATGGCCACACTTGAAAGTTGTCATTTGGGACGATATGATGCGCTCGATGCCATTGAATGAATTACAAGACTCACAATTGGGTGACTTGATTGAGCCAATGATTTGGGCTTATCATACCAATTTGAATGAAAATAATTTTCATGAAATATGGATGCGGTACGCTTCAGTGTTTTCAACTGTTTGGGCTGCATCTTCGTTCAAAGGATCAGCTGGGTAAAATATTTGTTTCATTCTTTCCGAAGAAATCGAATAAACAAATTTGTTTCTATAATTTCAGGGAAACAGCAATTCTGCCGCCGATTCGAAAACATTTGGAGAATCATTTGCAATGGATGGCTTTGATAAATATCTATGCAAATCGATTTAGGAATGGTATTCAAGGGATCGCCCTAACCGGTTGGCAGCGATACAATCATTTCGTTGGCTTGTGCGAATTGTTGCCTACATCTATTCCCAGTTTGGCACTTTGTTTAAGCGTTTCGTCATTGGGCTACTTCGAACCAAACTACAATAAAACATCGATATTATCGACACTGTCGTGTCCACAGCCAAAAAATGATCGATGGATCGATTTGTCTACCAATGAAATAAATGTGAATGAATACAAAGAGTTTCGAGACTGTTCATTCCCCGGCCAGAAGGCGATGGAATTCAGTATCAAATTGCATTCAATTTTAGATGCGACCCGACATTTTCTTATCAGGATTAACTTTGATCACAGTTTCTTATCTCCATATGCAGTGAAACACGGCTTTGGGTCACCGATAAATATTGAATGGGCCGTAAGGGATTTGACAGAACTGGAATCACAGCTACAAAACATTCTCATGAACGCTGAAGAAGCGTTGGCCGACTATTACGATAAATATACGATCAATGAAGTTATTGAACAAAAGATCATGCCATTAATAGATGCTTTGAAAAAAATGAAAGAGAATGCCGAATATTTAACATCAATCCAAGTTTGGCCACGAAGACCACTTAATTAAGAAAGAAAGATAGGGGTCTAATTATTTTCATTATTGTTTTAAAAAAAAGATGAATAGAGGAGATCGATTTTAACTTTTATGTAAAACAGAAAACGGCTAGTTTCAAAGTGTCATTGAAATACGTATTCCTACACATACATTCACTGAAGAATTTATCGCAAACAAAAAATCAAAGTCCAAGCCCAACAACCACACAGCAATAGATGTTTATATCTTTTAGGGTGCAGTCACACTAGGAAACATTTTACTGGAAACATGGAAACAAATTTTCGCAAATGTATGAAAAAAAAAGATGCTGGAAACAAACACTTTTTATTTCCATACATTTGCGAAAATTTGTTTCCATGTTTCCAGTAAAATGTTTCCTAGTGTGACTGCACCCTTAGTATTCTGTTTTTGCTATTAGATGTGTATTTTGCAGAAGTTTTTTTAAAAAAAATAAATTTTCAGAAATCTGATGAAATTGTTTATCAAAAAACGCATAATTGACTCACGACTTGGTTCAGATCAAAAGAAATCAGCCGAAGTGCCGCCTGATCAAAATAAGATTTGCTTCGATTTGGTGTCATAGATGTAAAAAGAGTCGATTTTCATTTTGTGAACACATGATTTATTTATCTGTTAAATGGTAAATCTGGTTTTTGCCTTGTGAATAATTTAGTTGCAGTTCATTCGATCGCTTTTTATTTTCAATCTTTGGGTATCGTGCAAAAAAATCCCTTCCGATTCGCTCTTGAAGTCACCAGTTGGATTGCCATTTACTTTCCAATTGGTTGAAATAGCCATAACCTTGGTGTCCGAAGGCTCCTTTAATCAAACATTCAAAATATGCTAAATAATATCAGAATAATACTTCTCGTATCCAGATGTATGGTTGCGTTAGCAGCAACGGCAGCCGCAATCGTTCCGACAGAACAAGACGAAAGAAGAGCGCGCATTCACATAGAGGGGAAGTACAGTGCGCATACACATCGTCGTTAAAATATCACAGTAGCCATTGGTTCGTGTTTTAACGACGATGTGTATGCGCTGTATTTCTCCTCTATGTGAATGCGCGTTCTTCTTTCGCCTTGCTTCGTCAGAACGATTGCGGCTGCCGTTGCTGCTAACGCAACCATATATCTGGATACGAGAAGTATTATTCTGATATTATTAAGCATATTTTGAATGTTTGCCTTTAATTAAAAATTTAATATGCGTTACTGATTGATATTCATAAGGATAAAAGATAGAGTAATTTTTGTCATCATACTTTCTCTTGCGTTCGCCAAAATGATTCTGTGCTGCTGAAGTTGCCTTACTAGCAAGTTATACCATCCTTTTGATGCTGAAAACACACGCGAATAAATGTTATAGATTTTTTGTTATTTCGTTCCAATAAAAAGTCTCTTACCAATTTTCAATTCATTTCTCTCATCGGGATCCGGGTCAACACTGAACTTATCGATGTATTCGTTTTGTGCGGTGATCGCCTTTCTCAACAATTTGCTCGGTGTAATTAAATCGTTGTTGCTGTTCTGCATTCTGAACAAAGATGAGGTGCGTGCATTGTTCATATCATACATTGCATGCTCAAAGTAAGCCTTTGAGTCTGAAAGCGGAGATATCGATAAGTAAGAACACTTTTCTTAATTTAATCTGAATCATTTTTGGTTTTTTGGATTTTGCCATGAATTGATTTGAAATTTCACAACCCTTGATGATAGAAATACATACACAAATATAAAAATATTTTCCTATCTCCACATGCAATATTTCCTTTTTTATATCCTTTATATCCATTTCTGAAAACTTTTCTTCTATTCGACGATTATACGAAAATGCGAAATTGATAACACCGTGTAACAAATTTCAACGTTTTCTTCTGCACATGAGAAATTCCGATTGCTTGTTTTAGAGGACCAAAAACCAAGCACTTTTGCATCATTAGTTTGTTCGAAACCACGTCTAGATTTTTTTTTATCGACACATATAAGACAAATTTCAGGCCAAAATGAGCAAATCACAAACATGAGCTTCGGTTTGACAGGTAAAAGCAAATAATTTCTACCTTTTCTGCCTTTCAACATCTAGTATGATCCTTTACGAATATTTTGGGTACTTACATGACCAAATCGAGTGATGTTTTCACATATTTCTGGCCGCATATTTGGTTGGTTCGATTTCAACTCTAAAAGAATCGACTTTTGGCCAAAAATCCTTAAATATAGGCTTTTCAGGGATAGTATCTTGGCGCAAAGTTATTTTTTCTCGAAAATATTGGGAGCACACCCAGACAAAAACTCTCAAAATTGACTTTTCGAGGTACCTCCCGAACAAAAGTTACGTTTTTCATGCATTTTGCTATGAAAATATCATTTTTTGTTCGGGAGCTACCCCAAAAATACACTATTTGGATGAGTTTCTTAGTAAAAAATTAATTTTTTCGAGAAATATTGGGAATCTTCTCATACAGAATCTCTTATAAATGATTTTTGGGGTACCACCTTGGGCCTGATTCTGAAGAACTAGGAGAAATACAATGCTGATGAGTTTTTTTTTACAATTAAATTACGTTAACATCAATGGGAAAGATCATAAAAAAAACAAAAGAATCACAAACTAAATCTAGATTGGATAAGAAATTTCATAATAATGGTCCGAGGATTCGCGATTTGAAAAATGCCAGGAAATCTACTGCGTGGAACAGATGCTTTAGATTATTTTTAAACGCAACTAGAGATTTAGTATTTCTTATTTCGACCGGTATACTATTCCAAAATTTAATTGCAGAGAAACTAAATGCGCCAGTATCAAATGCAGTACACGGATTGAAATTTATGCGAAGATTATCTGGATAACGCGACGATTCACCATTACGAATAAACATGTGATTCAAATACTCAGGCGAACAATTCGACTCTCAGGAGTCAATCCACTTAAACGCTCACGATATTCGGTAACATGATCATTACGCTTTAATTCGTAAATGTATCGAATCTTGTGGTTATCAGCAACAAGATCACGGTGCACCTGGTTTTGAGTGCTGTGGGCGCCCCAGCCGTATGTTACCACACTTCCATAATCCATTATGGGATCTATTAGAGCTACAGCCATATCACGTTTGACGTAATTGGGTATAAAACATGTAAATCAGATGTGAATGAAAACATTTATAAGCATTCAAGTATTGATACACTAATGACAAAAAAAACCACTAGCACTATGGACGTTCGCGTTGTCATGTCGATTCATCAACAGCCAACTTCATGTATATGGGTAAAATAAATTTGATAGCTGATTCAATGCATTTGCTATACAGAATATACGATCAATGAACAAAAGATCATGCCATTAATAGATGTTATTGAAATAGGTATTTCTTATCACTCAATGCTACTTTTTAATAGAAGAGATTCCATTCGTATATTTTGTGTTTTTCTAGCTTTATCCGATTTATAGGAGTGACCATAGGGGTATTGCAACGACCATAAAATATATCCATTTCATCAAGTTTATCAAGCTCTTTCCAAGTTTATGCATAGTATCGAACTTTTGTTCAAGCTCTACCATCTAAATGTACAGTAAAATAATTTACGGGCACGACGTAAGATGGCATTTTTTCTGGTCAAAAAAGTTGCAATATCCCTTTGGAAGTGACTCGAGTAAAAGAAAAATAACTTTATTCTTTTGATATGAAAAATAGCAATCAATTCGAGGACGGCTTCTGTGATGGCTTTTTCGTGAAATAAACAAACGGAGAAGCATTGCATCCTATAAACTTTTTTTCATTAAATTGTGATGATCCATTAAAAACAAAAACATTTTGATTTCTTTTTTTTTAACTCAATGTTTTTATCGTGTTGATTTCAATATGTTCGTGCTCCAAACTACAACGTTATTTGTATAGAAGAGCTATTCAATTATATTCTACAATTTTACTATAAAAATGCCTCATTCTGATTCCCTACGATTTTGAATTAAAAAAATTCATTTAAAATGCAATCAAAAACAGTTTTAAACATCTAAAAAAGATTTGTCAACGTTCTATTTCACTGGATTTTGAAAAATAGTTAGGTGTCTCCATCGACAGAAGAAAGTTTTGAAGGTACATAACTTTGGCACTTGCGCTCTGTTGCCCGTTAACCGAACTAAAGTGATAGGCCATATGATAGGGAGAAATGTCAAGTAATCTCTTGATGTTTTGTGTCATTCGGATTTTATGTAGTGTTTTTGGAAAATCTTCCGCAGAATAACTACAGAAAAAGATTTGCAGTACATCGTGAACAAACCACGCTTGGAATTGTGATTAAAGAATTTTCAACTTTGTGACGAAACCATAAAATGTATAATATTCCATTGAATCCGTATAAAATTTGAAGCCGGTCAATAAATCATCTATAAGAAGTAGGTTTTGATATGATATTTCGCAATCAAGTGTTACGATGCATCAGAATTTTTATTAACTCATTTATTTTGGTTGTATCATCAATTTTTAGAATGTGGTCAATGAGGAAACCGAATTGTCTATTTAACAGTCGACACCTGCGATATGCATTACAGCAAACCAGTACAAATCGCACTTCTCCGAGTGTGAATTTTGGCACAAGTGTTAGAATTGCGCAGAGTCCTAAGCAGGTGAATATATGCAAAATGTGTTGATATAAACGCAACAATTCCCATGAAAATGATTGAATTACAATATTTCGTTTCCAATCCAAACGTGGAAAAATAGGTGAAAGCAGCTAAAGATGAGTTTTCAGCGGTTTTCAAACTATTGAATCGTTCGTCAATCAATTCAATACCAAGTCATTTTATCGCACGCAATTTGAGTACATCAACGTGTCTGTTTGAGAAACAGAAAGAAACGGATCAAGATACACCGCAAAAGAGTTCAGGTGACGAGAATAAATCTAGTGATCCGGACAATAAACAAAGTAGTGGAAATGATGATGACAAAAGGAAAAAAAGCAAAAAGTCAATCGAAGATAAAGACCGTGAAAATAATACAAACAAAATGATTGCATACCTTACTAAGACCATTCTGTGGCTTAGTTTAATTTATAGCATCAGTTTTACCATTTTTGTCGTAACATCAATTATCGCCGGTGATCGGGGCGGTGGTGGTGATTCAGAAAATTACACCATTTCGTGGAAAGAATTTGTACAATATATGCTAGCAGCCGGCGAAGTAAAGGAGATAATTGTTCGACCTCAGTATGAGTATGTTCGCATTGTACTGCATGACGGAGCTGTCATCAATGGCCGTCGTCCAAGATTCAACTCGTATATGCTCACCGTTCCGAGTGTTGAAAGATTCGAACAGAGAATTCGAGAGGTTGAGAAATCAATGGGCATCGCCGAAGGTTCGATTAAAATCATTCCATGATTTAGAAAATGATCTCCTAATTTTTTATTCACTTTCATTTTCAGGAGTTTCAATTCGATACGAACGCTTCTCAGAACTTTATATGAAGTTGTTTGCAGGGGCCATTGCTTGTGCTGTTATCTACGCCATTTTGAAACGAATGCCGAGTGCCAGTTCGATGGGCCGAGATAATTTCGTAAGTTTCTTGCATTTTTTCGTATGATGTCATAGAATTAAATATACTGAAATTTGTTCCATTTTGATGAATCAGTTCCGAATGGGCAAAGCGAAAGTGACCATTATCAACCCATCGAGTGGTGGAAAGGGTGTTTATTTCAAAGACGTAGCTGGAATGCAGGAAGCCAAACAAGAAGTTATGGAATTCGTCGACTATTTGAAGCGACCTCAGAAATATCAAGCACTTGGAGCTAGAGTATGGATGCTTTTCAAAATTTTATTCAATTTAATCTTGAAATTTCTTTTCTCTAACGAAAATCGTCCATTTCTACAGGTTCCAAAAGGAGCACTTTTACTCGGCCCACCTGGTAATGAATGAAAATGCCGCAAGTATTTACGTGAATCTCATTCTAATTCGAATATCGTTTGTTATTTTATAGGTTGTGGTAAGACACTGTTGGCAAAGGCAGTTGCCACTGAAGCTAAAGTGCCCTTCCTCACGATGAATGGTTCGGAGTTTATCGAAATGATTGGTGGTTTGGGCGCTGCACGTGTTCGTGATTTATTCAAAAGGGCCAAATCGAAGGCACCATGTATCATTTATATCGATGAAATCGATGCCATCGGAAGACAACGCTCCAATACAAGTATGACGAAGTTCATTGAAATAAAGCAATGTCTTGTGCATTAATAATTTTCAATTTATCACACAGCATCGCCAACATCTGGAGAGTCCGAGCAAACTTTGAATCAAGTATTTTGAAATATTGCGTGTTAGATAACTTTTTTTAAATTATTTTTTTATTGAATAATTTCTTAAAAGTTGCTGGTCGAAATGGATGGTATGGCATCAAAGGAAGGAATTCTCATGCTGGCTAGTACCAATCGTGCTGACATCTTGGATAAGGTAATTTCAAAGTTTATCCATTCAATGCAAATGTAATAATGATGTGTTTTTTCAAGGCTTTGCTGCGACCGGGACGATTTGATCGACACATCACTATCGATTTACCAACTTTAGCTGAGCGTAAGGAAATTTTCGAAAAACACCTGAGCGGCATTACACTGGAAAAAGATCCATCTACGTATTCTCATCGGTCAGTGAACATTTTGAGTGCAAATAAATCCTGGTTTAAGAGTTCTCTTATTTCTAAGTACGTTTCAATTGTCTTTTATGTTAATTGTGTCGTTACTTCGAACAGATTGGCCGTTTTGACACCAGGTTTCAGCGGTGCCGATATTGCAAATGTTTGTAATGAAGCTGCACTACATGCTGCTCGTTTTTGCAAGAAATTCGTAGCAGAAGGTGATTTGGAATATGCTGTGGAACGCAGTGTTGGTAAGTCAAGTGAATAACTTTGGAGCTTTTATACCAATGCTTTTATTGTTTGTTTCATTTGAAAAAGGTGGTACGGAGAAACGATCCAATTCGCTGAGCAAACTGGAGCGTCGAACAGTGGCTTATCATGAATCTGGCCATGCTTTAGTCGGATGGTATGGAACATTGCTTCTAAATAAAAGAAACATAGCATCAAAAATATGTGATTGTTCTCATCTCATGCGCTCATTGTTCTCATTACAGGCTATTGGAGCATTCAGACGTATTGCAAAAGGTTACCATTGTACCGCGAACAAATTTAGCGCTTGGATTTGCTCAATACACACCACAAGATCAGAAGTTATTCACGAGAGAGCAGCTGATTGATAAGATTTGCATGGCTTTGGGTGGACGTGCCGCAGAGAATATCACATTCAATCGAATTACAACCGGTGCTCAGAACGATTTGGACAAAGTTACCAAAATGGCCTTTGCAATGGTGAGCTCAATTAATATGTTTGAATGAAACGACGTAGTTGTTCTCGAGTTATTCTGATTTCTAAAAGCTGCCATGAAAAATGGTATGATCAAATCGATTTTACCCAATTTCAGGTCGCCAAATACGGAATGAGTAAAACCATTGGACCAATGTACGTGCCTGACGAACCCGAACAAAGCTACAACGATGAAAAGCCATATTCAAAAGCCTTGGGCGATTTAATCGACATCGAATCAAGGCAAATCATTCAAAATGCCTACTTCCGAGCTGAAGAAATCCTGAAAACCAATCGAGATAAATTAGTCACATTGGCCGAAGCCCTGTTGAAACAGGAAACGTTGAACTATGACCAAGTGGTTGAATTGATTGGACCACCGAAATACGATGCAGCCAAACGAAAGGTTGAACCAATCGAATTCGAACAGTCATTGGAGAATTTATCGCAAACAGAAACACAAAGTCCCAGCCCAACAACCACACAGCAATAGATGTTTTTATCTTTTAGTATTCTGTTTTTACTATTAGATGTGTATTTTGCAGAAGTTTTTTTAAAACAAATAAATTATTAGAAATCTGTTGAAATTGAGGAAAAAGTAACCGTCTCCACTTTGGTTTGATTTGCTGAATTGGCGTTTGTTGAGGGTTTTTCTTAAAGAAATATCAGAAATTTTTTATTCCGAAAACTTATTTAATTCGAAATAATGAATTAATTATTATACTTACATTACAAGTTTTTTGAGCAGCTAATTTACTGTATGATGAAGCGACTACTGTAAATTTGACTCGATACTCACATAGAATTTCAGTTAATTTAACAAAATTTCTCAAATAAGTGGAAATTATATCCTTTGAACACGCTAATGAAGACGTGTTGATGATGAGATGAGCGGAGATGAGGTTCTTCGACCGCAGAAGTCTGCAACGGTTTGCAATTTATGGAACCATGTTAAAGTGGAAATGTTTTGCCTCGGCTGAGAGAGAAATCAACCGGAGAATTCATCAAAAATGTTTACCGATTGAGCTAAAAACATTGCAGTGGCATTGATGCAGAACACAACATTTAATTGAAAACACAAGCGATAAACATTCTAGCAAGTTCGCGCACGTCATTCGCCTAAAATTTGATTTCAAGTCATTACGTGTTGCAAAAGTTGGTCGTGTATTTTGATGTATTCGGCGGGTTCGTGAGATTTGAGTTTGGAAGAATCGACGGTACAACAACTGTATATTTTGGGCTTATTTTTATAATTTTGTTTATTGCGATGCCGCATCACAGACAGAACCAATTAGATTACAAGATTTATTCAGTAAAATGAAAATTTAATTTATCAACCAATTTGATTGTGAATGAAATTTAAAATGCAGTCCGTATATCTGATAACTTTTACCAAAGACATCTCAAGCAAAATAATTGGAATCAACTGAAACATCAAAAGCTGTGTAAAACTTCCGAAAACCAATTATTTTAATTTTTTCTTTCAGTTGAGGTTTCCAACCAATACAACCATTGAATTTGTGGTTATTTTGATAAACTAACAATGGTTTGGCTGTGTTGTGCGGTGTCGTACACAAATTATCCGCTCAATTGTGTATTTTGGATGGCGCCCGCTGATTTACGATATTTGTATTTCCATCTTATTACAGTGCGACAAAATAACCACATTATTATCAACGCATAAATCAAAAGAGCAATGGAATTATCTTTGGCTTTGATTCACATTCTAATGTGTATCGATTTCGCGTACGTGCAAAACGGATGGGGATATGGAATGAATGAGTGTAATTTGCCGTCGCATCACTCCGAGATGCACACTCCACCAATGTGTGATGATGATGGTGTGGTGGTGGTGGTGGTGGTGATGCTAGCATGTATGTATAAATACGTTGCTTGATGCCATGATAAATATCCCTTGCGGCAATCGATGTCGAAAAACAGAAACCATTAATGCAGAAGTGCATTAAACATGCATGCGATTGAGCTGAGCCAAGCCAAGCCGATCCAAGTATCTCCATCAACCGCATATAAACTCACTTCATTCGTTCTCTTACAAAACACATGCATTCAAGCCTTTATACCAATGCACAGCATTCATGTCGAAATGATATAGCCCCAGCATCACGTGCTAGTGAAATTAACCGATCATTTGCTCGATTCGAACGTACGGAAAACCATCTACCGAATAAACGATTAATTGTTTTTTGGCCGGTTTCCGTTTCCATACTCCCTCGCCACCACCAATTTTTTGCGTCAACTTGAAGCTGTTTGCCCATTGCAATCGCAAAGAGTGCTACATTATTCGGTTTCATTTCAGTTTCACCATTGAATGCTCGTAGAAAGTTATTGGCCAAATGGTTTTAACTGATTGGAGTCGAATTTACGTCCATAAATCTGATTAAGCATATACCGCATTCGACGAACGCATCATGCGCTGCAGTACATCTGTGCAAAATGAGGCTGGCTGCTGCGAACATCAGTCTTTCGGTCGAAATATAACATGCACCCGCACACATCAAGGGGCGCATCCATTGTAGATGGCTTGACCATTGAATTGCTATTCTCGTCACCTATATAAACGGGAAGGGATAAAAGGGAACAATGCAAATTACACACACTGTTTTCAGGGAATATTTGTTAGCGATTTTGTGGTTACCACGATTTCATAGAGAGCAGGAAAAAGAACCGTCCAAATTAGTCCGTTCTGGAAAAATACAGGAAACACATTCCAAAAATATGATTTGATGTGGTTATTCAATCCAAAGGGGTTCATTATCGGGCCACTTTTTTAATGAACTCTCTGCATAAAACCGCTTAAAAAACATCGACCAAATCCTGAAAGTAGAAAATAGCATACATGTTATGAATGACAAACAGGAAGCTTAATTATAGCTTGTATTGACTTGAAACCACATGAAATAGTAGCTAGATCAAAGCGAGAAAAAAAAACGTTCTGGGTCCCTTAATTTGAATTTTCTGCGCATTATTTTTACTTGGTACAATTTTTCATGTTACAGGGAAGTACTAACCTTATCTTTTGACATATGCTGCCCGTGATGCGCCCCTAAACTCAGTATCTAATTTCGATAGTTTCAATGTGTCAAACACAAAGCAAAAAAGGATAAAATGATTTGACGAAAACGTTTTATTTATCAATTAAATGATCTAATTTAGCACAAAAGATTCGTGTTCAATGTGCAGAGGACAAATGCTTTTTGTAAAGTGATGTTGTCAAAAATTTCAGATTGCACAATGGACAGTAGTGTTGGTTCTTCTTTTCCTTGTGACGTTGGATATGGTCTGTAAGGTACCACGAGGTACAGAAACACTTTTCACAGATATGACATTTGAATTTTTTGCTTTGGCCGGTGTCTGAATTTACAAAATTTTCCTCGTACATTGGTTCTATCAATGGGTCTTGATCGTCCAATGGGACAAGTAAACATTCATCTTCGGTTGTATCATTTGGTGGCGCTTGGTTCTGATTCATCTGGGTGACTGCAAAAGACTTTTCGCATTGCTTCTTGAAATTATACGTCACTTCTAATTTCCGTGTGCATGACAGGCAAATGTAGCTCGATTGATACTTGATCTATGTTGACAGATAAATAAAAAGGTTTGGAATCAATTAGACACAACAAGTAAGCAATTTTCTTGTAATCGTCAAATAATGATCAGAAAGTGACGAATTTCTACTTACGTTTGGATCAATGAATTGGCTCAGCATATGTGCCTCATGTTCCGCTCCATCACCCAATGTCAAAGAAATCAGGCATTCCTTTTCTTTTCTGCACACTCGACAAGTCGGCATTATGTATTCACATGAAATGATCGATGAAAATTTCGTAAAATCTTTCGTTTACTCTGTTTTCAATGAAAATATTGATGATGTGGTGGTATAAATACAGTCGCTGGCTATGGAATATGACAAAATATTATGAAATCAAGTTTGACATTGCGCTTGTGGTATAAACGAGTTTGACAGAACAACAGCCGAATTCGCTGTATCGACTTCAGACAAATGAACAATGGCTGCTTTGTATGAAGAACAAACCTTTCACTGCTTATACAAACCTATTGAATTCCATAGCTGATTCTCCCTGTTTACTCAATAATTTTTGTTTAGCTTATGACAAGCATACGAAATGTAACTTTGTTTTTGGATCAACTGTATTCGTGCTGTTTCGTGATGATTGATCAAAAATACATCATTTTAAATGAAAATGGCCTTTGCAAATCTGAATAATGATCATTGAATTGAGAAAAATATGCTTAACGAGATGCGAATCAATTGCATCCTAATATCACTCTTTCGTTCGGAGGATGTAAATGCATTAAAGTGTTAGAAAAAAGTCATAAAAATGAAATGTTGAGTATTCCTTCAATGTTTTCGTCTGATGTGCTCGTTCATGTGTTCCTTTTTCAAAAAGAAAAGGCTGCAACCAGGGCACTTGTATTGCAACTTTTTGATGTCATGCCACTTAATGTGGCTTGATAATGCAGGGCGTGTAAGAAATTTATGTGTGCAAATCGGACATTTGAAACTGAAATTCGGAATATTCTTGCGCTGGGACGTTGAACTGTGATGAGATGCCGACATGTGATTGGTTTTCTTTACCGACTTGTGTTCGGTTTTCTTTTTCGATGAACTGGTTTCCTTTTTCGGTGGTCGCATCGGAATTTTGAATTGCATTTTAATTTCACCATCGTGATGATCTGGTCGGTTTTTGTTATACTTCTGGTCGGCACCATTTGGTGCTGCTGCTGCTTTCGGTTCATCATCCTCGGTTAGATCGATTGGATGGGTAACACAGTGTTTTTCCAATTCGTTGGCTGTTTCAAAACAGGACGGGCACGTTTTGCACTTGAACGCCATTTTTGCGGCTCTTAAGCGGTTGGCTGCCATTGATTTGTCACATTTCTGCTTGAAATTATATGCCACGTCTAAGTTATCATAACAGGGCAAACAAATGAACTGCAATTTTGGATCCTGTTCCATGACCTGAAAAATGTCACAAAAATAAGCATCAGTTTAATTCAATGCGACACAATACAAAACACACTTTGTGAATTTTATAATAAGCAAAGGAAATATTCATCAAAAAATACCAACAGGTGTCATAAAAGCTCTCCTCGCTCATTTCTCTACACAATTCTTCGGTCACAAGCTAAAAAAAACATCCACTCTACTTACATTCAAATCAATGAATTCCTTCAATTTGGCCAAAATATCTGTTGCCTCATCTTTATATTTCAGATCAATCAAATTGGGGGTGTCGAATCGACAGATGCAACACATTTTCGATGTCGTCGACATTTTTTTCCAATGGTTTTAATATTTCAACACGTTGATACGCAGCAAATGTAAAAGTTTATTAACGCAGCAAAATGATGTTAATTCAAAGAATGGCTCAGAGGTACTGTGCATCCGAACTGACTGATCATCGTCTGCACATGAGCTATTGACAGTTTCAATCAAGTGTGATTTCGAAATGTCAAAACCGTAGCATGTTCAATAACAACAGTAACATGCAATTACAAAACTATACCGCTCACGGTGCTTGCGATGCTGGCACTAACACAATCACACGTTTTTAAGCAAACATAAGCGAATAAATATCTGCAATTCAAAAACAAACGACGTCTATTTCAGCGATAATACTGTTTATTTCATTTGTTACTTCGCATGAACGTATACACGATTGAAAATATATACCGTTTTAAACGCATACAAATGAAACAATTTATTTAAAATATGAAAATGTCTATGTGGTTTGGATATTTTACTTAATGACGTTTTAAAATGTAACTTAAATAACTATTTTTATGCAGAAACCGTTAACGAAAAACTTAGTCAACTAAAATCGATTTTTGTGTTTTTTTTGCATGCATGACTCCGAAATAATTTCCGTGTTAGAAATTTGGAATCACATTTGTGGCAATGGTTTTGATTGGACTTTTTCATGTGCCGTTTGATATGTTGACTGAGATGACCTTTTACTTTGAATGCTCTGCTGCATATGTCACACTCGAACTTTTCAACCATTTTCGGTTCTTTCTTTTCTTTGATAATGACATCATAACCAGGGTCGTGTTCCATCGGTTCGAGGTTTTCAACACCTTTTCCAAGGCTCATCTTAATCGATTGTTCATATTTTCTTCTGAATTCGTCCGCAATCAGAAGATTTCCAACGCATTTGATGCAAATGTGCTTTGCCACAACGTGAGCCGAATTCTGTGAACAATCGAAAATCATAATTAATAGTTAGCCCACAACACAACAGAAATCGATTACAAATTCGATCGACAAAACACTGTAATTATGGAACTTACACTTGATGCACATAATCCGTTTATCATTTGCTCGATGCGTTCCAATTTTTCATTGGAATTGAAATGGTCGTTATTTTTACAAATTTTACAAATGTTTGAAGACATTTTTCACGGTTTTTGGAATACGATAATATTTAAATCCGACTCTGAACGAATGACACTTTTAAGCGTTATAAATTCGAAATGTTCTTTTAGCAACAAGGAGAGAAACCCAACTGTCAAATATGACGATATGAAAACAAACATGAGACACTCGATTCAATGAAGGAAGTGGAATGGAGAATAGAAAAGAAATTGTGTTTGTAATGGTATGGGAGGTTTGAGTATTCACCACTATGAATATGCAATACGATATGGATATACGGGATATGAATTTCGTTAATGAGAGAAAAAGACAAGAGAAATATTGTTGAATGTCGTTCTCCTCTTTTCGTCTTTCTCTTTTTCTTTGGTTATGAGCTGACAGGAAAGAGTTTGTTTATGCAAAAGTACTGAAACACTATTCGTTTATTGTACAATGAAAAATTGGCATTTGTCGTTTGGTTTTGTTCTACAGGGTGTGAACCGTTTATTGCAGTTCAAAATGATTTACATGCATGATCTGTAAAATGTTTTACTTTCAAAAAACAGAGTTTACATTTTCTGCATGAATATTCTTTGAGGTTCATTTCGTGTCGTTTTTCATGTGTTTGGCAGTTTTCTTTATATTTGAAGCGTCGTTCACATTTTTCGCACTGGAATGGCCGTGTCTTTTCATTATCGTTCGTCTGTTTTCCTTTCTTCGAGATTCGACCTTCGGTATTTTCAGTCAAAGTACCACCATTCCTATTTTCGCCAGGCAATTTTGGATTTTGAGCCATCTGTTCGGCGTTGAGCGCCACAGTCAATTTTATTTTGAATTCGAATGCCCATTGTAAGCGGTCCTTGCATGGAGAGCAGATATGATTCGGTAATGCTGATGCCTGGAAAACACAGAATATTTGTTAGTGTCAGTATCAGTTTCGATTGGTTTTTTGTTGTTGTTATTAAACGAATGTACTTTTTATACTGCACTTGGTGCACATCTTTTGACATATAGTCTTTTTCTCTTACTCACATTGGATTCTACAATGTTGTTCAACATGCCCAAAATATTCTTGACATCTTCGTTGTTTTGCTCCAAAGGCACCATAAATACTCGCGAAAGTCGACACACCCGACAAATTCGTGACATTGTGGCGTTTGTTTCGATTAAAATCGTTGGATCCGTCTAATAAATGATTAGAAAAAAACCCGTTAAGAATCTAAATTCAATCGTTCTTTGCGCGTCTCTCTTCTTAATATGAATCCAATGAACACTGCTCGTTAACGAACGTGATGAGGTGGGAAAATAAATATCGCTCACTACATTGATACGAGTGGATATGTCTATGTATAATGTCTGTGCATTTGTCTATGTGCTTTGTAGCTCGCTTTACATGTACCCTATGCTAACTAATACCAATCAAAGCCAACTGTTAAACAGTTGTATTTAGTATAAGCCGTGCGCTAACTAATGTAATAATGTATGTGTATGTTTATATGCTGCTTTATTTACAAACATTGATGCTGTGTGAAATGTGACATGGTTAAAAATTTCTTTTTGCATACATAGCACGCATGTTGGTTCGATTTTGCTTCATGCCGTTCCAAATGCTGTTTCACTTGTCCCTTGGTTTTGAAGCGTCGGTCGCAAACGGTGCATTTGAATGACGGATTGTTTTCAATTTCAATGATATCAAATTCTTTTGTCGTGATATCGCCGTTCGAAACATCATCGTCACTGAGGCCATAATCAGGTTGACTGATTCGTCGTTCGTAATTTTGTACGAATTTCGTTGCAACGAAAATGCCTTCGATGCATTGCGAACACACATTGAGTGTTGATGGATTCCATTGAGCCTATTGATTTAATCAATATTTTGGTTGAATTTCCGATACAATTTTTCTGGGAAACTGTTCACCATTTTCTTACCTTTTTCAAATCTTGATCATCCTTTGCGAATTCAAATAAAATTTCAAGTGCTTCGGTTAGTTGCTGTTCGAAGCAAGTTGGAACAGTGTTTTCGATTCCACAAATTGCACATACTGGGATTTGATTTATTTGCTCAAACATTTTGGATATGCTTCACGAATCGATCTGAATGCGTTGAAATCACCCAACTAACTAAGTTGTAGATCATCTTTGAAATAAGGCTGTCAAAAGAGCGAATCAAATTGAATTTATGTAAACAAACATGTCAACGAGCAAAATGCAAGTTTAAACAGGCGAAGATATCAACGACGACATCACGATGTGACATGATGCATAACGGTAAAGTGTTGCCTAAAAAAAGTGTTTGTGTTCCAAAGTATATACAAAGCGAAATATTTTTTTTAAACTAATGAACGCAAAAAAGGCATCGTTTTGTACGTGACGGTTGGATAATCTTTTGGTGTATAAACCAAATTATGTTTTAATAAATTTGGCAAAGGCTCGAAAAAAAAACTGTTTTTTGTCAATTTACAAATATCGTTTGGTGTAAAAGATTTGACAATGAGGCTGTCGGCTTTATTCAGAGATTCAGAGTTTGAACTCTCTTCGTAGACAGTGTAAAAAAGTGAATTGAAATAGACGGCTTCGTGTGAAAAGGTCTTTTGATACGACATTTGCCTCCATTCGCTTATTGCAAGCACTTAAATGCCAATGACTCGGAACAGCGCATGGAAAATGAAAGAGAAAAACGGAATTCTTTAAGGAACCTTTTTGAGAGAGCGGGCGAGAAAAAACTGTCCTTAGTCATATTCTTGCGTGCATCGAGTAGATGAATTACTTTTGTTGTAAAATTTGTAACAAAGCACTTGTTTGTTAGCTCAAAAAGTGCACTTGAAAAACACGCGGCATGTGAAAGACAAAAGAAGTCAAATTAAAAGGCAATGCCAGTGTATGTGTTGTTGCTGCTGCAATGACAAGCCTAGCGCGATAGAGCTGGCGAAAGCGTTAATGAACAGAATAATGGGACAAAGCATGTAAATTGAAGTACCGCATCACCATTTGATTTTCGCACCTCACCCAGAGAGATTCAGCGCTAGAAAGAGAGGGAGTGAGAAAGAGCAAAAGAGAGTAAAAGAAAAGAGTGTCTCGTTGATAAAGCATTAGTTTAGTTTGTACAGTTCTTGAAAAACATGACTTTTTTTTCCTTTCTTCGCCCAAATGGATGTATTTATTCGATGAAATTAAATTTACGATAGCAAATTTTGGTATCAACTCACACTTGCACACAAATGCTGTCGACGGAAACAGTGCGGAAAGAAGAAAAATATAACGAAAACATGTGATAAATAGAATTTTCGCCCGGTTCAGAGTTACATGGTGATTAATTGCTTTTCCTAATGCAGGATATATACGAAAAGTTTTCATTCGCTTTTGCTCTCGACCAAAAATCCCATGCAACTTCGCCGTTAGTTTCGTTTACAGTGTGTTCCGTGTTTCCTTGCTTGCTGCTCCGATTGAACCAAAGGTACATTACATTGTGTTTCCTTTTTCGAGTGTCGAAAACTCTCCAAACACTGGCTAAACAGCAGCAACAACGACAGCAGCAGCATTCCTTTTTCCTTGGCAAATTCAACAATAATTCAGGTTAAAGCTGCTTGTGATGGAGATAATATGCGAATCGTTGCCGAATTAAACACCAACAACACACGGTTTTCATTCGTACAAGACGTTGAAAATTGCTATGCCAATGTATATATATTTTGTGCTTCGTCTTTTTCCAGAGAAACTTTCGCCAAAGACATTTTAAACATTACTCATTCTTGAAATTATATGTGCTGGTGCTCAGTAGTTTGTTTTTGTGCTTTATTGCCATTCGATAAAATTAGTCTTTTTCACTCCACCTAGTGAACGACCAGTGAGAAGAGGACAGAAAAACACACTCATTTTTTATATACTCATGCTTCGCTCATCTTTGTTTATTAGGTAGAACCGAATGAAATGTTGTGCATTAAGCGTAGCACCGAGAGAGAGAGAGAAGAAGAAAAGACAGAGCGTTACAAACGCTTTGTTTGTGACAAACGAATTAAATTCCATTGGAATAACAACATTTACCACACAGTTTCTGTTTAGTTTAGTTTGATTCTTCTGCTTGACGAGTTTTGAGCTCAACATCGTTCATCATAGATCAAGTTTGTGCAAAGTTCTTTATTAACCGTTTGTCGAAATCAGTTTTCAAGTAACCCACTTTTCCATCTATAAACGAACATATTTCGAATTTTGGCAACTCATATGCTATTACTTAGCCAAAATATACTTCTAAAATAGTGCGAATAGAGTGATTTTTCAATCAAGAAAATATAATGGATGGTCGTCGTCTAGAGAATGGTAATACACCGAGTGGTATTTTATCCAATACACGAGATCGTTTCTTCGATGCACAAAATTATCCACATCAAAATCCATACGATACTCCGTTACCTAATTACTATCCAGCTTATCAAGGCGGCTATGAATAGTAAGTTCGATTAAAACAAGCGTCTATGTTCGAACCATAAATTTTACGAATTTCCCTTTTTTGTTCTTCGTTTAATCGTTAATTTTTACATTTAATTGATTAGATTTTTCATCACTTTGTTTATCTTTCTAATTTATCTCGAACATTTTTCTTTCTCTTCTGCTTCACTTTCGTGGAGAAAATTTGATTAAAAAAAAATTCAAGCATTCATTTAATGTTCGTTAACATCAGAAGGTCAAATTGCGTACGGCACGACGAGATAAATTAAATGCAATAAACAAGGCCATGGACACCTTACAGCACAATTAATTTAAAGCAATGAGCGAAGTATCTCTAAGGAGCTTCGCGTAAAAGTAAAGTAAATTTATTACTGCTAATTTTTATCTCTACGCATTTCGAAGCGGTGAGCTTCAGTATGATTGTGTTTACCTTTTTGCGAGCTAATGAGAGAAACCTAACGCGTTTAGAAAAAATTCATTTGTAGACAAAAAGCCAGCTTCTTTCGCATAATTTTTGAATGCCTTTAAGTGTGCTTGCTGTTGGATATATGATATCTAAACTCAGTACTTATGAGTCAATAAATGCTCATCGAATCAAAATTTTAATTTGTAAAAATTCTTTTCATTTTTAAACGTGTTTTTTCCTTCCTTTTTTGTTCGCGTCTTTTTGGCTACTTGAAAATGGAATGCAGTGAACCTGAGACAGCTGATTATGGGTAAGATATGAAATGAAATCCATTCAAAGATGATGAGATAAAAAATAAAAAAAAGTTCTTTTCAAATCGATACGTGTGAATAATTCTCAAGTAATGGTAGATTTGGTCATGGCCAAGGTCAAGGGCAAGCAACATTCCATCAACATGTTTATTCAACACTTGGCGGAGGAGGTGGCGGCAGCAGTGGTGGTGGTGGTGGTCATAAAAGCAAAAATCACGCACTGGCTATGTCTGCACTGACATTATTGGCATTTTTATTTTTCATCCAAATGTTGCAATCATGTTTGAAAGAGCAAATGACATCATTGAATCCAACGGTACATTTCCATTACAAATTTTTTGTTTTCGAATATGTTCCAGTAGTTTTGCGTTTAATCATTGCGTTCTGATGGATTTGCGTCCAAAACAAAATTCCTCTGAATTGGATTTAAATTACATTCAAACTATACTTCTAATTCGTTAAACGTTTTTCTCATTGAATTTAGGTAATGGTAATGACGGCAGGCACAAGTCGATTCCGGAAAACTGGAACAGCCAGCACAACAGGTGATGCGAACAAAGAGCTATTTCAGAACGATCCTCATGAAGCAATGATATCATCTGTAGCCGACAATGTTGATTTGCTAACCAACGATCAAGGCGATGTATTCTATGGACCTGCACCAAAAATCTCATTCAAGTTGGACAATTCTTTCGTTGCAAGAAGTGCCGATTCAGTGCCGAAGGAAACACGAGAAGAAACATGAATAATTCAACACACACTTTGGCAAAGCAGTTTTTTCTTTCGTATTCTTTAAATTATTAGACTGAAAAATGAATGATTCGTTGTTAGAGCTTCTACGCCGTTCAAAATTTAAATAATAAAATAAACGAAGTTAATCTTTTTTCCACTTTTAACTGTGAAATAGTTTATTCATTAATGAAACACAATTGTGTTTCGCCAGCGTTTCTGAGTTAGTCTGCAGTGTTAAACGATTATCACGTTTACGACTGTGCATCGATTAGTTACGGCCAGTTGGCGTTTCTTCTTTCTTCCAATTTTTATAACAACTTATTGAATTCACGACTGACTTTGAAATATTTTAAAATGAAATGAAAAAAAAACCATAAAATTCAAGTGTTCTTTGGAGTACGAAATGGAAACAACGAAATAGAGAAAAGTAATAAAAAAACCCAAATTTTATGACTAACGATAAATTTCATTTTTCTCTCGTCATCGCAATCAGCCAGCTTGTTTCGGGCGAGAATTTATAGCAATTGAAACTGAAATCCCAATCGTTCTACAGCAAAATGTGTGTCACGTAATTGCGAGTGTCAGTTCGGCAGAGAGACACAGAGAGACACAAGGGAAAAAAAAGCGGAAAATATATAGTGCGTTAAATTATGAGCGCGTGAAGAGAGTACGTGAACAAATGGGTATGATATTCTTTAACCGCATATGTTTGAAATGCACGCGTACATTCCTGTACAAGAGCCATCGTGTGGCGTTGACACGCAATCGTCGTACATTGCAATTTTTCCCATAATTGCATCGGATTGCATACACGGAGAGGGAGCAGCAATGCATTCAAGTGCATCTGATGCATTTTAAACGCTAATTTATTTGATTGTCGATGCACTGATGAAAAAAATTGCGCCCAGATTTTCTATAAATTACATATTATGACAATTAAAAGTGGCCACAGTGCATAAATCAAGTCGACTATGGTTGAAGTGGATTTCATTTAAAATGAATTTTATTTTATCTGGAGAGAAACTTTTATGCCGAAAAATATACGCACTCAAGTAATATCGCAATCATTGATGCACACCAAATTACTTTCGATGCAAATGCCTTATATTTTGTCATACATAAAAAAAAATATTTAGCTCTTAAATTTAATATCAATTTTTTTTAATCGTAAGATTTATCAAACGTTTGTTTTGCTAATATGAAAATTCATATTCAAAGTAAATAGCAAATAGTTTAGTTGGTTCAGCGCTGTCACAACCTGAAAATTTAACTTCGGAATAACCGATCAATTTTAGTCCAAATATTCCTAGGCAAATGTTACGGATAAAATTCTGGTTACGTCACCAAAAATTTATACTAAATAAAGGTCATCATAAAATGAATGATCGCCATTAAATCATCATGAAAATATAGATATCCTTAAAAAAATGCCTTTCTATTAGTTGGAACTTGCGTTTGCAAACGGATTCGATTTAATTGTCAAACTATAAAAAAATCACGCTTTTACCTTGACTATGACAGCATTATTCCCACTAGCCACTCTTTATATGAGAATGAAATAAAACAATTCGATTTCGATATATGTTTATATTTTTATGTCTTCAAGGACGAAAAAAAATGATGATATAAATGGCTTTGTATTGTGCTAAACAGAAATTGTTGATACGTATTAACAAATGGCTGAAAATATGGCAATTCTAGTCTTAGTGTAAATGATTTTATGTAAAGTATATCGAGAAAAAAAATGAACAGTAAAGAAATGAAATATTTTAATTTCTAGAAATAATTTTTCCATGATTGTTCAAATGTATGAGCTCTTGTTGCGATTGGATGATGTGTTCGTCACCTCTAGCGCCAAATTTAACCGCAAATCCATTTTTGCGTAGCTCATATGAATGCGGCTTTAATTGTACCACAGCCCTATGAATTTTGCGAAAATAATCCGTCATATGATTCTGTGCGTAGATTTTCCATGAAGCATGGCCACGTGGCAGATAAAAGTTGAACACACTAGAATGAACGAACTTCCCCCTCGTCTTCGACGTAAACTCTTTTTTTACGTCCATCCGATGAAATTTTACAATAATTCCGTCTTTACATTGAATTATATCTTGATGAATGTCTGAAATGGTCACACCAGCAACACCTACCTCTCGACAAAATTTTAAGAAGACATTAATCAAATCTCGTTCGTTAAGATTGCTTCTAATGCCATAGACGAAAACATTGTTTGCTAGCTTTTGTTGCTCAATCAGCTCCTCAATGATAGTTGACCGATTGGAGGTTGCAGAATGTGTTGTTACAGTTGAAGCCGTTTGTGGTTGTGATTGTTTTTGTGGTGTTATGACATGGACAGTAGTCGCGGCCGATTCACTTTGCGATGTTGAACGCTCGCTCGCGTTCAATTCGATCTTCTTCTTGGCTGACGAAACCATGAAACTGAAAAACCCGTCCAAAAAAGTGTTAAATGATTTGCTACCATCAAACTTCGTTCCGCTCACATTTTGTTCTTTGAGAGTCAAACCATTGGGCCATATTATGATCGTGGTGAGAAAATGATTCTTCAGTTGATTTACGAATAGTTCGCGATGCGTGTTCACTGTGTCAATTTGGTGTCGGCACTTTTCATGATAAATCATTTCAGACAAATTCGACGACTCATATTTGCATTTCGAGCAAGAGAAATTGTATGAATGGTCCCAAAAGTGGCTCGAATATCTTGCATAATCGACCTTTCCCTGGCAATAGCCGCAAATCAAGTGATCTGGTGTGCTTCCATGGTTTGTAAGCTCTTTCGATTGAACTGCTTGGCCATTGTGTGAATTTTCAAAATGTGCAGCGATTTCAGCTTGTGTTGCGAACAGTTGATTGCATTTTTCGCATTGATATTTCGTATGTGTATTGACTTTCAGGAGTTCGTCGATCAGTTTCTCTGTGTAGCAAATCGGATTGAATATCTTGGGCGCTGACTTCATATCATGTTCCACTTTGAAATGGTTTGTCATGTCATCGTTTTTGGAGCGGCACAAGCCACATTGATCGCGATCACCACGATTAACAATCGCAAATTGTTGGCCAGCATGTTTGTCCTCGTGATGTTGCACCAGCTCGTGATACATGCCAACCTTTTTGCAGTAAAAACACCCGACTGAAGCCACAGCGTAGAAATTGAAAGGCTTTGAGAGCAATTCGTCCGCATGTTTGGCCAACCAATGGCTGTACACATCATCAATAGTTCCGATGAAAGATTTGGCCGGGTTTTTGTCGTCCAAACAATCAACACAGAAGAAAATTGTACATGGCAAATCATCATGCCCTTGTTTGTTGCTTTTATCACCTGAAAGAGAAGAAAAGGCTTTTTTTAAATGCACACTCACTCGATTCAATCAAAATCTTATTTCAATATCATACCATGATCGACATTTGGCTTCTTCATAGGAGAAGGCTGTGTTGACGAAGAAGAAGCTTCATTTTGTCGCTTTTTCGGTTGTCCGTTTACTTTGCTGGCATTCTTTGCATCTTTGACCTTTTTAGGCCTTGATTCGTTCAAATATCGTTGGCATGTTTCAATCACTCTACAAAATAAATTCATTTGTTATATAAAAGATATTTGTGACACATCCACTTAGCGGCAAAAGAAAGTTGATTCTCCGCTATACTGCTGTGCGAACGCGTGTAGTCTGTAGTGTATAATATGTAATTTATTCGTGTAAATTCATTAAAATTACCGCCTGTTGGTCAGCTTCTGAAAATGTTCGATAAATTTTTTTGTAAGCTTCCGTTTGGATTGTCTAAACTGATCCAGTGCCACCCATACTTCGGATTGAACATTTTGCCAAAACGCATTTTGAATCTGTACGATTTTTTCCTCCATTGTGGCTATGAAAATGTAACAAAAAGTCGCTATTAATGTTTGTGGTTTTCAAGGAACACTCAAGGAAGATTCATTTTTAATACAAACAAAACGTACAATGTTTCCGATGGAAGCAATATAAGATTGATTTCAAAATAAAGACGATTCGGACACAATTTTAACATCCAATTATGAATTACCCGAACAATATTTCTATATTTCCTGTCTAAACGATATTCTGATATAAAATTTTCCAAGAGCAGATGAATTTCACAACACACAGAATGAACACACAATATGCTGCTGATAGAGCGTAAGCAGACCGGCACTCGTCAGCATAGCTACCAATACACTTAAAAGCAATAGTGTTTGATGTTTATTCGGGTGGTGTGGACACAACTACAATAAAGGAGCAACAATTTGATTATGGTATCAGCGACACAAAGTCACAATATTCATACTGAACGCTGTCAGTTGTGCCAACAACACGAATTTAGAATATACAAATTATTGAAAACTCCAATTCAAATCGACCAATTTTAGTGGAAAAATAAATGACTTTCGGCTTTAAAATTTTCAAATGCAGTTTTATTGACAATCGAATTTGATACATTGTATATTTTACGTTCTTATTTGGTAGTAAATGTAGAATATGTATCTAAGGGGATTTATCTCTCGCGAATGCATTCGCATTTCAGAACAAAACTTCGAATGTTCGCGAATGCGACGAATGCGGCTATGACAGCGAACTTGTGACTACATAATTCATTCGTTCATTCGTGTTTGGGCATGCATTCGCAACGTTGCCGTATGATTTCTATGTAAAAATTCGCACTCGCATTCGTGAGAACGTTCGAGAACAGCGAAATACGACTGCTATACGAATGCGAATGCGAATGTTTACATAGAAATCATATGGCAGCGTTGCGAATGCATGGCACCGAGCGCGAATTTGTGAATAAAAATTCGAGTGCCAAACCGACATAGAAGCCCCTAGATATTTATACCAGCGTCAGACAAATTGCAATTAGTTTAGAGATCTCATGGGGTTTTACAACCAGCAAATACTCAATCTGCCGGTCAACTCACTCTTCCGTGCTGGTGTCAAAATCAATCCTGAACACAAAAACAAGTACATTTACCTGTTCGCATATGTGGCCAGCGTTTGCGAAACATTCGCGAAAAAGGCGAACAAACTGAATATCAATGACGAATCGCAGAGCACAATATTTAAAAGGGATTTTCAACGGATTTTCAAAAATTTTTAATCTCGGCTTGTTGTTGGTGTTGGTGCTATTTGTTTCATTCATATCCAACATTAAAACAACTTTTTTACAACTAAGACTGACTTAATTTTGAAATACCAATTATTAATATGACGTTTTTCATTAATGCATGTTTTTTTTTGTCGTCAAGAAACACCGTTTTTCTCGACAGCCTATCAATCCATTCCGAAATGAATAATTAAGCTTAATATTTCTTGGACTTATAATTAGTTTGAATAAAAGACAGAAGAATATGCGACCAAAATACAAAAAAAAATAAAAGTATTTAAAAAATGTTTTCTGTCATTTCCTAGGTCTAGTAATTGACAGGATGAAGTTCGCTCGTAGATCATCATATTTTCCTAAATGTTTGAAATCTTTGAAACAGCAAGCGGAACGACATTCGGCTTTTGTCACTTTACCAGGCGGCTTTTTCCATGTTCTTGGCTTTCTTGTTGACCATGATGATATTCAGGGCCTGCAAAAGATAAAGATGTCGTTTAACATATTGAAATAAGTTTGATACAATGTTCAAAACATGAGCTGTTATCGTGACCATGTTTGTTTGGAAATTAGAATAATAACGGGAACTAACTTTGAAGAATATTTGCAAAAACACACGACCGGATAAAATGAACAAAATGAAATCGTTCGTTTATTGAATTAATCGGCAGGTTTTTTCTTCATGAAAATTTCGATTGAACATGAACGACATCGACTACACTGATTTTCTTCAAAAAAAAAATTTGCTGTATTTTCATGCTCATAAAGTTTGCTCTTACCTTTCTTTGGTTTTGGATCCTTCTTGGGAGGTTTCGATGGCATTTGTGCCAGTCTTTGGAATGACAATTGTAACTTTCGCGATTATGTCGATTTTTAACAATCGTAAATTGCTGTTCTGCACGTTCTTCCTTCTGATGTTCGATCAAATCATGACAAAGAGGAATTTCCCAATTTCCATCTGTTCCATACCGTTCACATGGTTGAGTCGAACTGCAAAATGGAACAAAATCATTTTTTTCGATAAAAATAAAATCTTTGTTCAGTACTTTGAACTGCAAATGAAATTACCGATAGTTGGAAAATCTTTTGTTCTTTCTAAACTCTTTGTATCGATGTACCGCATTGTCTTCATACTGAGCCATGATATTTGCCACCATTGCTGCAATGAAAATGAAAAAAAAAGCAAAATATTAATTAACCAAGTAAAATGATGGTGATGGAAAAAAAACCACGAACACAAGAAGATTTTTCGATTCAAATAAAACGTACAATGTTTCCGATGTAAGCAATGTACGATCCATTTTGAAACAAACACAATTCAGACAATTCTTTATTAAAAATTGGATAATCATTCCAATAATTCTGTCCCAAAACGCTTTTCGAATTCAATTATAAATTAACCGAACAATATTTTCTATCTAAACGATATTCTGATATTTCATTTTCCAAAATCAGGCGAATTTTGCAACACATAGCGTGTTTTACAATATGGCGCTGATTAGGCGTAAGCAGATCGGCACTAAACAGCAGAGCTACCAATACACTTAAAGCGACAGCATTTGATATGTGTTTGTGTGGTGTGGATACAGCTTAAGGAGCAACAATTTGTTTATCATCCCAGTTACACAAAAACGTATATTATTGAACGTTGTCAGTTATAACAACAACACGAAGTTGGATATAAAAATGAATTGAAATTGAATATTGAAAACCTCAATTCAAATCGATTAATCTTCGTTGAATACAAATTGGGTGTTTCTTGATAAACACGGATAAAAAGGCTGTGATTCACTTCCGAGTTCACCAATTTGTATGTTAGTTTTTCACTTCTTTTCTTGTTGAATGGATTTTAGCACGAAAATAAAATGAATTGAACGTAGCACCCATTTGTGATTTGTCTAAAATTATTTCACTCATGTATTGTTTGGAATCAATCATTGAGTGTATGAATGTGGTTGCCGTCGATATCGGTTTCATTTTAACGACGGTTTATTTGAAATGTCAATATATCACAAGCTCCATTGTCCAATAAATATTAAATAGAAATGAAAACAAACCCACCTTTTCTTCAACAATTTGTAAAAACACTTCAATTTATTTAGTCCTGATACTACTGTCTTTCTTGAAGGACCGTCTACAAGTGAGAGAAGTTCATCAAAACCATGTGTAATTTTTTTTGCGAAAGAAAGCAAAGCAAATGAACGAAAAAGCCATGATATCATCGTAAGAAAAATGAGAAAATAACGAATACCGCTAAACTCACACACATATGGGCGCAACAAATCAGTTCACAAACGAAGTGTGTTTTATACACAATATGCAATGCGAGTGAGTGAGATAGAGAAAATTTGTCGACAGTGGAATGAAATCACTGGCTTTAAAATGCGTATGTGTGACACATGACTCAAATTCCGAAAAACAAGCCTGTAAATGTCTCTATCGTGTCAATAAACCGAAACAGTGCACTTTTCAAATTTAGGTATCAATTTCATTTGTTCAATAGCATCACATGACCCAAGAGTGAACAGGAGTGCATAGTGTCACTACGACTCGACTCATTCAGGTGCATTGATTAATTGAATGCATTAGTAAATTGGATGGCAGTGTATTTCTTGCACCAAATTCAAACCGCTGCGGCTGTTTTAAACAGTTCACAAAATTGCGAATTTATGGAGCGTACATCGAAAAGTTGCGTGTGCGCTCAGCACAAGCACATCGACTGCAATGGGCAGATTAATTAAAAGCAACCCGGCTACCATATTTTGCCCGTTCCATTCCCAGTGACCTACATGTGTCAACCGACAAACCAATTGATTTCGATACATTCATCTCAGCACGAAAATACTGTGATTATGCTTTGTATCACATCGACACTTTCGACACAGATATTTGAAACATGCCCAACATGGGCTGTCACTTTGAATGGTATTTGTGAAAACCACTAATGCCAATCAAGTTGACAACCAAACAAATCGATGCTTGTGCATGCCCGCAATTTTCTCTAATATAGCACAAACCACCACACTGTTCATTTTGAACAAGCATTACGGAAATTATGGCTACATTTCAATGATTCGATCTCAATGACTTTGATTTGAACAAAAAAATGAGTTTTAGGCAAAATACAAGAAGAAAACTTGTTAATGTGTTCCGTTTAGGGGAAATTGAATTCATTCCATTTAAGAATTCGAGTAGTTGTGGATTGAATTAAATTCAATGAATTTACTTACATATTAAAGGTCCTGTACTTTTACTACGTCAAACATTAAATCGACGAATCATGATGCGAACGGGTTACGATTTTCAAAATATAATCAAAACGCAATGAAATATATTCATTCGGTTCCACGGTCACCTACTTTGAATGGAATGGTTAAGGTTTGTATCACTCCAAGAATGGAATTCCATACACATTTCCATCAATAATAATCAATATTGATAATTCCGTTATATATGGGTTGAAGTAATTAGCTGGAATAGGTGAAGTGTAGGCATTGGGCACTGAAATCGTGCACAGAACATTGTTTAGTTATGCTATAGGAGATGATTCAAGGTAAAAATGTTCACTGTAAATGAAAGCGGCTCATATAAAATTGAGCATAGTATTGATTGACATGCGAAAATAAGCCATTGCCTTCTCACAACTTACTTAGATGCATGAATTTCAATCCTAGATCATGGTTTCATGTTCGAAAGGATTGATTCAATTTCTTGACATTGGGCAATATAATGTTCACTGTTCAAAAATAATAAAATTTTGTTGAAATTAAGGCGAAACTTTGGGAATACTTCCGTAGATACTGTCCAATGCCCATTAGTTTGTGAGTGACCATTCAAATTCTCAAAACTATATGAAACTGACTTTGAATATAACAGCTCTTAAAATGGAATTTCGACAGCACTTTCATCAACAGTAATTAATATTGCAAATTTTGTTTGGTTTGGTGTGATGTAATTTGCTCGAATAGATAGAAGTATGGGTACTCATTCATTTCTCATAAAACTTTATTGAATTACACTTTAGTGAAATCATTCACTGCGAATTTGAATGATTCACATGTGATACAGTACATTTGGTATGTGATTGCCATGGGAAAATCAGCCATCAACTATTGTCTTCTCAACTCTTACGTTTCAGCGTGCACGTCAAATTTCAGCGCATTGTTTCATGCGGCAGTTCGGGTGCATTTTGTATAAGATTCAATTCGCTCATTTCCAAAGAAGAATAGACCCCTTTAAATTTCAATTTAATATATTGATGGTGGAAATATCTCGAATGCTGAATTAGCATTTTCTTGAAGACTCATATAGTCCTTATTCATATTCATATGAAACAAATCAATATTTTACCCGAAAAATTGTACAAATGAGCGTGTTAAAGTCTATTTCCTGGAATCTCAATCAGTTGGATAAAGTCACCCTTTTAAATCAAACTATTTGTATACATCAATTCCCCTTGGTATCAAAACTATTTTTGGCATTCCATCAAGAAATAAAGTTGCAAAACGAACGAACGGGAGAGAGAGAGAGAGCAAATAATATGAAAATCACAAAATCCCCCATAGAATTAGAGTTTGCCTGCGATGCGATTATGAAAATGTATGGTCGACAGCATAAATCAAATATCATCGTCTGAAGGTGTTCCATCAAACGAAATTTTGTTATACATGTTTTTCGAGTGGATCAGAAAATTGACGATGCGTACAAATTCATCGTTCAGTCTCCGTATGTAAAGAAGAAAAATCCCTTTTTCGAAAAATCGCCTCTAATTGGTTGTGTCGACAGAATTGAGCAAAAATATTATAAGAAAATGAAGGGTCAGACGGAAATTTGTCAGAAACACATAAAGAATTATGGTGATTACACACAAACACACACACACGTGAACCGGTCCGACGGTTGGTCGACACTGCAAGAAAGTTAAGCCAACTGTAATTTTGTTTGCATTGAATTTATGTGGTCCCCGCATTTTGTTTGCATAGATAAACTTGCTGGATGTCCACAAATTATTATATTTCATGCATGTGTTGTGTTCGAATTTTGTGGGCCGACTGCAGAAATTCTAATTTTCCTTCTCACACACACACACACACACACACACACACACACACGACACTTTTTGTAAGCTGATTAAATGAACGATAGAAGTGTGTTTGTTTGCTTCAGTTGAAATTCAAAACATCTTCCACTTGATACTGACTAGCATCCTTATTTATAATATTTACTTTATCGTATCGTGGCTACGATGTGTGTTGCTCGTTACTTGTTACTTCGACACATTTTTTGGGTGTGCAGAAATATGATGGCGAATTTCTTCGTTTCATATAAAACACAGTAGTGTGTGGCGCAAACGTATCGACTGCATCACTGTAAGACATTGCTTGCTGCGATGCAAACCAAGCATTTAAACCGATCTCATTTTTCTATGGTTTTTTTGCTTGACCAGCAAAAAATCTTTCAATATTTTTATTTTAAACTGATGCATTTGAAAATGTGTTCTCAACGATTTTTTCTTTCGTCAGACCAATTACCACCCATCAACCATTTTTCTCTGCCTTTAACAACAGCACTTGTATCCCATTCCCATTGATTTATCGAATTTTTTTTTTTATTTGACACCTACTTCACTTGTGTTGTGTCTTTTCTCCGAACAAATAAAAGAAAGTCGAAACAAATTCATTTTTTTGGATATTTATTTACGCGTTATCTGCATGACGAAAAGTCAGTAGACTGTCAGCACAAAAAATTCATAAAGCCAATCAATGAAAAAAGATTTTTCAATGGATACAAACCGTACACGTCTCAACATGCTTACCTCGGACAATGCAAGAAAAGTGCTGATATAATCAAGTGTGTTTTGACTGGCATTCGTTTCTTTGCATTCGTTCAGTTCTTTTTTCATGTAAATAATGCCAATTTCTTTGCTGGAAATTGAATAAAAGAATGAAACTCCAAACCAATTGGCATTATGTATATATTACACACCGTGGTTTCAAACATTGGGAATTGTTTGTAAAAAAGAAATATAAAAATTTGAGATTGAAGTAATGACGTTTTTTTTTGTTCGAGCGCCGCACATATGCACTCAGAATATCGTTAGCTACTTATATCAAAATTCGGATGAGCTCTTATCAAGTCCCCTGAAAATGATTTGCGCTGGAAAAGATGAAATAAATTGACAAATTCAAAATGGTTTATCAAAATGTATTGTCATATTTATTGAACTAAATCTTCATCATAAAGAATTGTCAAATTTCCCTTTAAAAAAAGGCACAATATTAGCCTAGTGTCATTTATTCCTAGTTTCATTTATTCAAGCCATTCACTAAATATCGATGTAGAGTTTGCGAAAAAGATCGCGGCAAATGAATTTGAATGTGATTGGATCGATGTTTTTGCTGAGTTGATACAGAATGAACCAGTCGCCAATGTCAAAACGTAGCAAAATGTAATCGATGTCCCGTCGTGATGCAAACCGTGCTCGCGATCGCAGCAAGTGCAGTCGCAATTTAGATGAACAACAAACAAATGCGCGATAAATTAATGCCATGGTCGACAGGATGATGATGCCAATGAACCAAAACCACAAGAACAAATAGATTTTTTCGTTGATAATATTTACGGGCAACACACAAAGTCCATCAAAATTCTGAATCGTACCCGATGGTCCATATTTATGAAATGAGCATTTTGTCAGTTTCGGGAAAACACGTGTCATTGTATCCACTTCATGTTGTTGCATCACATTCGATCCATACCACAGAAATTCACCGTCGAGAAAAATGTCAGCGAAATAAATTTGACCGATGGCAACGGCGACGTTTAACACCTCACAAAGAAAGAAGCGATACGCATAGAAGCATTGTTGATTCAAATTGTCCTTGAAGTAATTGATCATAGCCACCATATGTTTGTCTTTGTCTTCTTTTTTGGCCAAAGGCTCTTTCAATTTATCGGCCAGCACTTTGATGCGTCCATTTTCGAAGCACTTCCAAATGTATCGTGGAATGTAGGATAAGATTGCTTGAAAAAACAGCGCAAAACATACCCATTGATAGTAGCTATGGTATTTGATTGTGTCGCCGAATTCCGAATGGCTGGCTACACCAGGCTGTACTATGTCCTTGCCGGCAATACCAATTAGGCGATTCGATAGCGTATATGTGCTGTAGAACCAACAGTATGTGTCCATGATCTTCTGCGGAATCACCTCGACTATGCAATCAATTGGATCGCCAATGTACTGACGCGACGTAACCAATATCGAGAACGTGGTCAAAAGCACAAACGTCACTTTGGTGCAAATACGGAAAACCTTGTTGTCGATACAGATTTTATCCGGTTCAAGTAGGTTCTTCAATGGAGTCAGCACATCCATTGTGGACCTATTCGAAATGGATTCGAAAGAGCAACACGTTAGTTTTTAAGGAATTTGTTTGTGATTATTTTTGTCTAATTCAATTCCATCATAAATTTCATAACTAAAGGACTATTCAATGGTATTTATAATAAACTGTAAGACCACTTACGTGTTGATCACTTCAATTGACTGACACAATTGAAAATTACGAGTTAATGATATGATGATTCAGTTGAAATGCGTTTGAACGCCGTATTTTCTTGACGACGCAGTTTGAAAAACTGTTTGTTTCTCCGCTGCAAGAGTTGAATGAAGCGGTCGCCAAGCAAATGTCAACCGATATATGCTTGTTATTATTTGCGCGCTCTTTTTCCCATATCATTCGCAGCCAACAAACCAATCTGTGCCGTTCAAAACAGACGTCCGAGTCGAATGCATTAAACGGTAAATATTTATGTTTGAAAAAAGAGTTAAAAGTGAATCGAATTTCAGACGCATTTCGATACGTCGCCATACTCTCTCTCTCTCACACACACTCGAAAGTATACTTCATAGACGCGTAGAATATCGAACATATCCCATGATTGTGTGTGTAAACATTTATTTTATTACACTTTGGCTTTGTAATCTGTGGATTGCGTTCGCGTCAATACACGGTTTCATTATTTGAATAAAGGAATAAGGAGGAAAGAAGATGATTTGAGGCAAAGGAATGAGAAGAAGAGTTGCCGCTTGAGTGAAACCAGGATGAGTCAAACACATAAATTTTATATGCAAAATCATTTTGCAAAGTTGCTGTAAAAGACTTTTCCACTAATAAATCAACACATTAGCGCGCATAATGCCATCATTAGACGTCTACAAATACACAGAAATTTTGACTATACGCAACTGAAGTCGAGTGTATGCACACGATGTGCCGGTTTTCGTGGGTGTGTGTGTGATAGTGTCGATAGAGAGAAAGAGTTGCGCTTCGTAGACGCAACTCAACCAATTTACGTATTCATTGAAGGTTTAAGGAATTTAATTACTGCTTTTTATCAATGCTTATTCAATAGCTAGAGCGAGTGCAAACATCAAATACGGGTAATTACTATCGAACCGTGTACGCGCGCAAACACACACAGCACTCACTCTCCCACTTTGTTTAAATATTGCGATATAGAAATTATAAATTCCATACGAAAGTTTGTCATACATAAATTAAATGCCATCGAATTTATAATTCATATTAATCTGATTCATAAAAGTCGAAACGCATTGGCAAGGGCGAGACGAGCTAAATTAATACATAAAATATAGCATTCCGTTGAGTTTTTGAAGTATAAGCACATATATATTAAGACGATGTATGAATCGCATGAGAAAATCAGATCGGAAATCGGATTGAAATGAATGAGCATACTATCAGTGCTGTCTGCATGAAATGTTGACGTTCTTCATCAATTTGCCCGTATTTTTGTTTCTCTGTTATCATATTTCTCACATTCGTCAGAACGATTTCCAGATAGAGATACACACACGCGATTTCAATGTCACATTATCCATTAGCTGTGTGTGTGTGTGTGTGTGTGCGTTTGCCTTGTTTGCTGTGATCGCTTTGAGTGTTTGCATATAAAAAGTCACAAGCTACCATTAGTTGATTTGAGAGGATGAAAACGCGACTTTTGTTGGCAACGCACACAAATTACATGAATCCACAGCACACAGATATACACACGGAATTCATTTGCATATATCCAGAACATTGTAATGCCTATGTGAAAGGGGAAAGAGGAAGAGAGAAAACGAAAATATCAGCAGAAAAATCACATTCATACGTTTTTCGTGGAGTTTTCTCATGTACCATTAGCCACATGTGATTCATTTATCTGTTCTAATTCCCAGCGTGTGCCGACAACGGTGTTTGTGTATGCCAATGTTAGTCGGAGTGACTTTGCGAGCGACTAGGTGTTTTTAAATGCACATAAGTACATGGGATATGTGTCAAACAGAGCACCTACTCGACGCTTTTAACATCCACTCATCGCCACTGTCACTGCCATTCTGCCCAACTACTGAATGTGTATGTGTGTGTGTGTGCGTTTGCATCGGCTATACGTACGTACAATGTAAACGGCAGCGCCCCTTATTATTATTTTATTATTAAATTAGTGCCATGCTATAACTCGTGTAATGAATAATTTATACAATTATTTTCAATTAGAGTTTGAGTGAAAATGTTATAGGATAAAATTTTGCAAAGCGTCTTGCCTTCGAATATTTTCTACTCCACACACACACATACATGCCCATTCATACTTGCACACTTTTGGAATGAGAAGCTTATCACACCCGTTCAGTGGATTCCCCGGAAAATTATGTACGCATTCATAATAAGAGGAGCACAGATAAATTGATGTGTCTTACAGTCGAATTCATCGATCAAAATTAAAAAGTAAGTTTCAGCTATTATGGTTCATTTCGGTGACTTTATAGATATAGATATTGCAATTTGGCGTTGAATTGATTTCCGATTTTCCCAAATGAACTCTCTTTCTTTCTTGCTTTCTCTCTCTCTCTCTCTCTCTCTCTCGTTTCCTCCGTTCCGTTTTGGCTGGTGTGTTACAATTTCAATTAAGTTGTAAGTTTCTTCCTTAACGACGACTCGCAAATTTGAAGCGGAACACGCCAGAAAAATGCAACGAACATTATTTTTTCTTGGTGAAGAGCCAAATTGTATGAACATTTCGTGCCATGCACACACCATCTTTTCTTACTTCTTGGTTCGTGTCGATGCCATCAGCGAAACAATGAACGAACCTATGCCAATAAACTTGATTAAAAGCATAAAAAACTTTTTCATCCACGCAATAAAATTCGCACAAAACAAATCTGGCGAACATTTTCGACGACACAGATTACAAAACTGAAGAGTCGCGTTCCAACAAAACCCAGATTGAGTGTGCTTCAATAAAATTTATGAATTGGTGAACAGACTTTCCTCGTTCACGGTTCTTTTTTGGTTCGGTTTTGCCCCAGCGATAGATCGTCTCAATAAATATATTGATTGAAATGTAACGATGATAATCAAAAGTTTGAACCGTCTTCAAGATGCAATTTCCATTCTGAAATTATAATTGTTTCAGGCGTTTGATGAAGAATTTTAAAATCTCTTGAAAGTTAATTCTATCCAACAGTGTTGGGCCAACACACCCGGTATTCAGCTCATCAACGCGACAAATTGAACAAAAAGAAACGCTCAAAAGCAGAAAAAAAGGAAAATAAAACCATTTTCCGAATTTCCGACCAGAAAATTGTAATTTATGTTTCAAATTGATGATGAAACTTGTACCGCTCATGGGTGGCGTAAAGAATGAAATCAAAAGTTAGTTTATTAGTTTCCATTTTGAATGCGCCAGCCAGCGCCAGCTTAACTTTAAAAACTTTTTTCCTCTTTTTCCATTGATAAAAAGTGGCATTTCAAGTACTTGAAAAGATGAAGAACATTCTGTCGACTGTGTGACCAATGCAACATAACGCATCTTGAGCCAAGAAAGTGTCGTTACTATGTCCTTCACCGGAATTACTTTAAGAGGAAAACTGATGTCAGTTTAAAATTTCTTATATTTTTCTTTCGTTTTATAATTGAATTTTCTTACAATTTGCGTACACTTAAATTAAGAAAACTGGATTTTCTATGCGTTTGCACAGACATTTTGGAGTCATCCACAGCGTTGATTTGCCATAATCATGCCGATTCAATACAACTACATAATCAAATCAAGCGAAAGTCACACATACTTTCTTGTAGGCACATACACACATACAGCCACATGAGAAACATACCATGGTTTGTGCACAAAGCCAGCCGATTCGATTTGTTAACGGCAATATTCGATTTGTTTAAACTCTTAGTATGCAAAACAAATTAGCAATGTTTATGGATTCTGCATCAATTCGAGTTTGTATTTGTGTTCATCATCGATTTATACAGTGTTTGAATGAACGCACTGACGTTCTGTCGACACATTTTTGTGGGAGTTCATGGATTTTTCATGTTGCGATCAAATGGTATTCGTCTCTTGAGTGTGACACATCGAATCGATCGAGCTTGGTTTTTCAAACATCAAATAAGAATCGCTGACCTTTTCCATTCAGTTTTTATTGCAACGGTGAATTTGATTCGTCAAAATGAGCGAAGAGGAGAAGGAATTCAAGAAGGAATTTGAAATGCAGTACAACCACTTGAAAAAAAGTATTATTTTTTCTATTAAAATCATTTCTGTTATGTAATTTCATTTTTTTGTGTGATTGTAAAAAAAATTGCCATTTTTTTCGAAAATCAGCTGCTGGGAAGTACAAGAACAAGCACCAAGAATTGAATCGTGTCTACTTGGAAGCAGCAGATAAATTGAAGCAACGGTACGAAGCAAAATCACCCACGATCATGAAGGAGCTTAAGCAGTTGCATGGAATTGGGAAATTAAAAGATGCTATCATGGCGAAATATCCATCCAAGTAACATCAAAATCAACCCAAATAGAGTCATCACACTGAACTGAATCAACTTCTATCTATTTGTATCAACATTCCAGTTGTATACTGAATAAATCCAATTCGACAGTTGGATGCATCCAACAGATTTTGTTTTGATTACACAATTTAATCACAATTCATAGGTTGTAAGTACGCAGCAAACCTATTTGAACATAGAATCGTAAGTAATTACATGCAGAGGTGAGTACTGATTCAACTGAAATGTTTCTCTTCATAACATCTACGACAGATGCATTGAACTGAAAAATTATAAACAGCGCTGAAGACATTTATATCTCATATTTTATGAAGAGAAATCGAAGTGATCAAATGAAAGTCGCATTAAAAGTGAGTCACAAACTGGGGAAAAATTGATTACAAGACACAATTTTTGTTTATTGAATCAGACTGATGTTTGATGATTTTTAATATTGGATTATGATTGTGCAGTTTTCATATTTTTATTCACAGAAACTTAAACCGTGCGTCTTATAAACAAAGAACAAGAAGACAATTCGGCCCTTGATTGATGTGTTTATGTCATTTATAGCTAGCGAACACATGAATACAAAGGGGGAAAAATACAAAGAGAAATTGAAATCGATCCGTATGATTTGGTGTAAGGTGAAATTAATGCTACCGCTCACCTTTACTCTTCACACCAAGCATTTGTTGTGTCTCATTGTCTCTGCCTATTTTCTAGCCGCAATAACTCCAGTGCACACTTGCACCCTATAAATAAAATCGCATAAATACAGAGTGCATGAACCTAATATTAAGCGACGCTAAACGAAACTTTTCTTGTAGTTTCTTGTGTTATTTGTTTGGTGAAGTTTGTCGAGTTGTATGTACGAACAAACAGGATTGAGACCTAATCTAGGACAAACTGTCTTTTGTTCGGTGAGTGTGGAATACGGTAACGATTATTATTACTGCTATCACTTAAGCGCATTTTATACTTTCTAATCTCTTTATTCGATGAATGCATGTGTTTGTTTTCTGTACATTTTCCCCGAACGGTTTTCATTTGAGTTTTTCATTGCGTTTCAAGTGCTTCGCTGGAAACGCACATTCCAAGCGAATCTCCAGCTGTGTGTCCGTATATTCTGTCTGTGGAGCCTTGACACTCGAAACCATTTTCATTGAAAATGTTTGAATCCATAGTCGCTTTGCCATTTCTTTCATACTCATTTTTCTGCTCTCACTCTGAACCTTTTTTCCTAATTTTGTATTCGATTTGTATGTGTGAGTGTGTGTGCACGAAAATTGTTGCGTTCATTTCCATTGGTGTTAGTGTGGACCATTTTATTTGGCAGCAAATAGTTTGTGGGTGGTAGACCACATTTGTACTTCACTTAAACACATATGTGATGTAAATTACGATGTACAAGCATCCGGAAATCCCGTAAAAATACATTGCAACCAACAACATGGAGAGAGGCATGGGAGAGAGAGTGTATGTGTGTGTGTGTGTCCCTTTCTGGGTTCGTATTCAATCAAGTCATTTGTACGAATGTAATAGAAAACGGCAAAACAGCACAAATACCCAATTGCAATATGTAGTTGAATCGAAGACCCACATACAAACACACATATGAGCAAAAGTAGTTTCAGTCTGAAGCAACTACCGCTTAACAATGAAGAGAAAAAAAGCCAGCCGACACAAAAACAAATACGTGCATTAGTTTTAATTACAAATATACAAAACTACTTATGTAACTTATGTTGGCTGGCATCTATTGAATAAGTATGATGCAATTTGGGTTGGTGTGTGTGTGTGTCTGCAGCTCAAAATTTGCTATTTTCATTTTGGATAGTAGGCTTGAGTTTGAGCGCTAATAATAATAAGAACAAACTTTCCGGCTTGTTTTTTCCTTCTCCTATTTGTTTCATCGTTGGCAAAATTCTCGTGCATTTTCAACTCGGCAACTGCCATCATTGTGATTTTAATTTTTGCTCATTGCACACACACACATTCAGGCTCGCACATACATATCGAATTAAGTGATACAACGAAATGAAGAGAAAACGCACTTGGAGCACATCCAATGGAAAACAAACACATACACTTATTGCCTGAACAATGCCAAAGCACAATTATAATTACTATTATTGCCATTACAACAGCTTAGAACATTTAAATTTATGAAATATAATGCAAATTTGTGTCTGCCACACTTCTCCGTCCCCCATTCCGATCCACTCACAGTTTGGCTTGCATCTATGCCGCCTCAGTTGCGTTTGTAAACTTCGACAATCACGTTTCCTCTCTTCCGAAACGGTGCACCGATTCAATTCCTGAAAGCGTTGCTCGCATAGAACGCTTTTTACAGGAAAAAAAAGAACGCAAGCGTTAATAATTCACATCATTTTGTAAATCTTATTCATTGCAATAATTTTCACCACTCTTGTGCCGCTTTTCAAACCCCGTTTTCCCCCAATCTTTTGGCGTCTCATGTTTGTTTCATGTGAATTGTATTCATTTACATTGGATTTATGCGCTAATGTAAATACATTAGACTTAGAAATTTACCATCTCTAATGTGAAAATTATAAAAATATTTGCACAATGTGTCGTGTGACATGGGAAAGGGTACACACATTCAAAATACGTGATTGGATTGATGCACGCTCGTAGCATTTCATAGAGAGAATAGACAGAGAATCACTTTTGCAGGCAAATTGCATTGAATCGGTTTATTTTTTGCTTCAAGAAACGAAAAATTATGAGCAAAGCTATTAAAGTTGCTAGTCTGCAATTCATGACTAATACGGCCACTTCAGTCGGTTTGTGTTGATTACAAAACCAAGTGACTGTGAATAAATGTTTGCCCAACGAAAAACAAAAAATGTTTACTTCTGTACCCGCGATTAAATTTTAATCAGATTTTATTTTGCAAATGTGTACACAAAACTTCTGACCAATTATTGCTGACTATGTCCGGCTATCATATTGAATCTACAAATTATTCAACACCAGTACCATTGCCAGGCAGGCAGGCAGCCAGCCAACCAGTCGCAAAGCAGCACATACCGAGAAAGAAAGTTAAAATCCAATATATCTCTCGTTCGTAAATTAGACTGTGTGCATTTCGTTCATTAAATTCGATTCGTTTCAAAGTTGGTGTTTGTATTAGCATTCAAGTTGGTTCGTGCATAGATGCTTTCTAGCGCGCGCACACACACATACAGACAAGATATTAGACGCTGAACTATTTGGGAGGCATTGAATTTGTTGCAAACAAAATTACACAGCACGAACACCCGCACAGAAAACAATTGAGAACATGAAAGATTCCCCCAAAAAAACAACAACAACCAACAACATCCTTACATATGGTCGGTCATTCATTTCCAAGTAAGTATATTGCACACACAACGCTAACCAAACGAAATATTATGTGAAAAGTACGAGAAACAACACAACTTTCAACCAAATATAGTCTCCAAACCTATAAAATTTTATTCCATATTTTTGTTTTGTGCGTTCGTTCCTCTCATTGTCGCACAAATAATGGCCAACAACGAATATCGTTTGGAATTGGTCATATCTCGTATAGTACTACTCGTATTGCCGCAGTTTTTTCTGGCATTATGCAGTTCTGTGTATTTCAGCCTCATTTTGGGAAAAAATATGGTTGCTACATGGAAACAATGACAGCAAAATTTTTCTTAACATTTCAACATGTGTAACGTAACATTTATTCTTCTCGACACAATGGAACAGAGTATTAGGGAACTTATTGAGATATGGAAACTTTTTCCGAAATGAATAAGCCGAGGCATTTTTTGCGTCTATTTTTATGACACTTAGGGTGTCCGTTCAATGTAGGTAGAGCTACTGTAGATTGCGATTGATAAGAAATACCAAAAGAAAAGGTGAAATGTAATATATTTTTATTTCAAATTATTCCACGGTTTGTTTTTGTGGCAATAAACGAAATTGAACGAATCATTTTACGCATGATTTTCTCTTCGTTGAGTCAATTCACACATCAATGCTACGTAAAAGGCATAGAGAAAGAGCGCAATAAGTCCCATCTATGGTTGATTTCTTCTAAACAACCCAAACATATCAATTATAAACAATTCACTTAAAGAACGTACGTCTCTATAAAAACGTTGTTCGCTTCATGTGATAGAAATTCTCAGAAAAGACCCAGAATATGATAATAAAGCGCAAAGCGGAATGTATACATTTTTATCCTGAGATCAGCACATCATATAAACACATATCCACAGACAAAAACACAAAACACATAAGCATTCGGGATTGTGTTGATATGTCAGCCGGCGATCGCATAAACACTGAATGTTTCAAGCAATTGAAAGTAAGCGTTACGTGATCAAGCGGTAACAAAGATATGCAACAGAAATTCGTTGACACTTTCTCCATAAACATTCACAGAAGAAGTTCCAATTAAGACCGAAATGTTGCATTTTTCGTGATATTCCTATCGCATGTTTGAAGAGCCGCATGTCAATCGTTTTGGGATAACTTAGAGAAAAAAAAACGATGCTATCTAAAAGAAGAAGTATATGGTTGGTATGGTCTATGGTTTTCGATTTATTTATTGCCTTTGCTCTTTGTTTTCGTAACTTTCATGTCATGATTGTCAAGAACTCACGACTTTTTTTTATCGTTAGCAAAATATGAGTTAACTCATTTGTTGTGCTCTGGGCATATGTATGAGTATGAGAAATATTCCTTAAGCTGTCTACAGTGTCGGTCGCTTCCTCGTTTTTTTCTCGCTGTCTCACTCAGGCAACCCAAAACAACCCAAAGAACCGACTTCAGAATTAGGTGTTTCATGCTTATTGTTTGTTGCTTCATAATTTTTATTGCTTTTTCGTAACTCTGCTTTGCGGTTCTTTCGTTCGTTTTCCCTCGCAAACGAAGTCACACTTGCACAAAACGAACACACCAACACACATAGTATTGAATATTCATACACATTCGATGTTGGCGCGCTGATTTGTCACACCAAACACATTCATTTGGTTAGTGACGTTCGACTACATTACTTGTTTAACGAACGTTTGGAAAAAAACTACATATTTTCTAGTAGAAAAAAAAGGTTTGTATCAAAGTGATTGAGTTGAACTAGTCGCTGGTGACTAGGTTGTAGTATTAATTCGAGTCGTTAATAGCGAATGATATGAATGATATTTGAAAGTGTTGAGTGAAACACGGAAAACGTGGCAATGTCCGACGAAGTGATCGATACAAAGTGTTTGAGATGTAATCTCAACTTTACAAGTGCCAAAAAGCTGAAAATTCATCAGCTGGAGAAGCATGCACAAGGTGTTGTAAAGTGTTTCAAGTGCAGACTAAAGTTTTCAACGCAAGATCGCTTTCGCGTTCACTGGAACAACAAACATGTTACAGCACCCAAAACTCCAGCCGAACCCAAGCCATCAAGTGTGAGTGAATTTTTATTTAAACATTTTTGTGTTCATTCTTAGATCAATTTTGCCCGTTTGAGTATACCCAATACAGAATACATACACATGTAATTCTTTGAATTTGTGATGATGTCAAATTATGACTTTTTGTCGTCCTAAAATATAGTCTTCGAATGATCAAACGGTTAATTTGGACGGGAAGAGTGAAGGCGATTCACAAAAATCATCAACAGCCGTGACGGCGAAAAAACGGACACATGTAGGGCCCACTTCGAATCGATGCACTGTCTGCTTCAAAGCCTTTGCATCGCATCAATTTGCAAAATTGCACTATGAACGGGTGCACATGGATTGGACCACAGAATGCGAAGTGTGCCAGAAACGCGTTAAGAAAAATCTGTACATAAAGGTGCATTTGGCAAAACACCGACTACGCGGTGAAATCAGTGTTGAACGTATCGTAAGTAAAGTGGATTTTTTTTAACAAGTGTTGATTTATTTCTATTTATTGATTGAAGTGATGATGATGAAATGGAAAAAATTTAAAAAAATTCAAAATCTTCCATAGCTCGAAATTCAAAAGGAAAATCAAAAGATGCAGAAGAGAAAATCATCCAACGGTGAATTAAACGTGAAGGTGCAGCCAAATGTACCAACAAAATGCCCCGATTGCCTGAAAGTGTTCATTTCAGATCGTGTGATGAAAATACACTGGGCTAGAGTTCATTATGTTGCTACGAAAAAAGAAAATGCTGGAAAAGAAAGGGACAAAGCCGATGAAAAGAGCGATCCGGTTTGTATATAGAAAGAATTTATTCTCTGCTTATCAAAATTTTTCATTTAATTTCAGAAGAATGATCATTTTTGGGAATATGTATTTCATTTACCCTGTTGAACGATTGACGCAATGCGCACTGTTTTCGTTCTATTTCGCTCTATGCAACACAACGCTTATACACAGAAGACAGTCTATAGAGTGGAACAGCTTGAATGCACTCGAATACTATAAACCAAGTGTATCGTAATAGGCTGTCGACTGTGTATGCATGGCATAGATTGGATTGGATTGAAGCGAAAATGGAGCGAGTAGCGCCAAACGTTTATATTGGAAATGATATAAATATGAAAATGCAATAGCCTATCGAATATTTATTACTATTACTAATTTAAATTGTTTTTACAAATGTAGGTGGTGCCGGAGAAAGAGCCAAAAGCCTGTCCGCAATGCAACAAAATGTTTGAAACCGATGGAAGAATGAGAATTCATTATTTTCAAGCGCACGTCAAGAAGACTCTCTCGAAACCGATCCGAAAGAAAAAATTACTGAAAAATAAACAAGTAATTGAGATTACCTTATTTGGTGCTAAACACCGTTTGAATGATTGAAACTGTTTAATTTATTTTATTATTCATCACCATAATCATGGACTAATTCGATGCAATCTGTTTTTTTTTCAAACACACACAGGCTACATGCACGACGTACCCAAGCATCAAGTCGATTTCTGATTTGCGATCAAAGCCTCCAGACGTCGATTTTGATTCGAACACTTGTCCTATGTGCAAAAAAGTGTTCTCCAGTAACAGTTCGGCGAAAAAACATTTTAAAGTAGTTCATCGCCAAGAAGAAATTGTAAAATGCCCCTATCCGCAATGTTTTACCAGATGTAGCACGGTCCAAAATTTGCGTACTCATTTCTCCAATCATCATCCGAAAGCAACATTACCGAAAGAATTTGAGCCAACGCGAATTTTTGTAAAGGTATTCAAGATTTAACTTGCATAGTAATTTCATCCTATTAAGCATAAAGCAATAAATGTCTTGATTGTTGTTATATACCTACTTTTCAGAAACAAAAACACGACGATAAGAACAGTACTGATGGAAATAAGTCAGAAATGAATGCTTCTGATAAATGCGAGAACACACCAGAACAAGATCATCAGGAGGATGCAAAGAAGTCAGACAATGGAACAAAGGTAACAAAGCCAAACAATCCATTGTTGAAGATGTTTGAAAAGATGCGCGAGAAAAATGTAAGTTCGAAGTACTTTTAGAATTTTGCTTTGAGACTTGAAATTTTGACAAACTTTTTCTCCTCAAGGCTCAATGTCCCGTCGTCCCGTTGAAAGTGGCATCAGAAGTTATTGAAATTGAAGAGGATCAAAGTGGAGATAACGGCGGTTGTTTCACTTTGGACTTTGAACACTGTTCGGTGTGCAGCAGAAAATTCCCAACGCGCGAAGCGGCAATGTTGCACTACAACAATAAGCACTCAGACGAGATTCAAATGTGCCCCGAATGTGAAATGCTGGTCACAAACAGTCGTCAGATGCCATACCATTTCAAAACAAAGCATCCAACCATCGTTATGCCATTGTATTTGAAATCGTCGCGAAGAGTTGGATTCACAAAGGAATTATTCGATCAGTTCAATCTAAATAAGTGCACAACATGTCAACAGGTCTTCAATTCAAAGGGTCACGGCCAAAGACACTTCCTTGATGAACACGAAATCAAGTTTGAACTGTGTTCCATTTGTATGCGGAGTTTTCGCTCGGAAGCAGCTTTACTCACACATTGGGCGCACAGCCATGAGAATTCCAAGTTTGTTGAATTCGAAGCACAAACACCAATGGAGGCATGTGTTTGAAAGAATCACGAAGGATATGGAATAAATGTCATATTTTCTCTTATTTTTGGTTTAGGTTGACGATCAAGGTGAAAATGCAACAAAAAATGTCATTGAAAATGAAATGGAGAATAGAGTCGAAAATTTAACTGAATGTCTAATCGAAAATACACCGGGAAATACAACGGAAGCTGACGATGTTCCAATTACTGACTCTGATGTCCCAACGTCAACCAATCTTGTTACGACTAATAAGACTGCAAAAGCGACAAATGCGAATTCCAGCAAGAAAAATCGGAAAAATTATCCATTCATCACATCTAACATGTGCCCGATATGCAACAGGCAGTGTCTGTCTCGCAAGTCAACGGTGTTGCATTACAGAACTGTTCACACAAAGAATGGCATCACATGCCAAATGTGCGTCGCTCTATTCGCCAACATCGATCATCTGAAACAGCATTGGTTGGAGGTTCACAAAGATGCACCTTGGAAATATGCAAATCCTGTTTTGGTGAGTTAAGCAATTCAAACGATCCTAATCGATGAATACTGATTTTTTTTGTAAAACAATTGTTTTCTAGGAAATACGTGAAGAAAAGAAAACACAAAATGAAGCAGAAGACGTGGAGTTGAATATTGGCTCGAATAAGGAGAATGAAATAAACGATAAGACACCGAAAATGAGTGTCGTCGTATCGCTGGTCAATATTAAGGACAATCTGGATTCATTGAGTCCAGATATATTCATCTCTCCAGATGTGAGAAAACAATTTTTGGAACTTTCGAAAGAAATGGATAAAGCCACAACTGACCCAAATTCAACGGAAAACGAAGAAAAAGTATCTGACTCTGGACATGGAAGCACTGCCGATACCACTGATGAAGAAATTTCAGTGGAATTATCGCAAAATGAACCACTCGACCTTTCCACCACTCAGCATGACAGAAGCCCAACGGATGATTTGCTCGATCGAAGTGAGTTTCATTGAATTGATTTCTAATTATTTCATAGAAAATGAGAAAAATTGCAATCTTCTAATTAATTATGTTCCTTTCTTTTCATTTTATAGCCCTGATCAAATGTGAAACTGTCAATATCAAATACGAAAGTTCTGATCACTTGGTTTCGAGCTTCAATCAAGCGATTTTCAGTAGTCGCACCAAAAAAACCACACTGACCGATGATACTGATATTATTGTGAAGGACGAGATCACATTTGAAGAATCCATGATCGAAGAATAACTCTCACTCGAATTACTAACCATATTATTACTTTGACTCAATGCATGATTAATTATTACAAAGTGTACAATCCTTTGTAACGTAATTAATGAATAAACTGAATGTTCATTTCAGAAAAATTGCATGTTTTTGTGTTATAACAGATAAGATAGTAGTCAAGATAGAAGCATGAGAAGAAGTATTTTCCATTCAACTAATGTCCTTTTGTTTCCTTTCTTTTCAGATTCATTGAGCATTCTGATTGATTTGTGAAAAAAACAAACAAAAGTAACAAAAAATTCATTGAAAATATAAGAAATTTACTCATAAAACACACTAAAACATATCCACTAACAAATAGTGCAAATAAAATAATCATTCAACTGATATTTTAAATAACGTGCCCCACATTTGACACACAAAGACAATGTCAGTCGAGAGTCATACAAAAAATACGGTCCCACCTAGTGGATGCGCCCCAGAGACAGAAAAGCCCTATGATCTTCGTAAAGAAATCAATGGAATGGTAAAGACATTTGTTATAAACAAATTTTCAACTTTTTTTACTTCTAAATTCAAATGAAAAAACTTCATTTGCTATTTATGTCAGAAAAAGAAGTTTTTCCACTTAAATTTACAATTTATATGACTGACATAGTACGTAAATAATTTTTTTTATTTTTCTTTTTACTTATAAATATGAACGTTCACTAGAGAGATGGTTAAAAAATACATGATTATTTTTTTTTATTTAATCAGGCTAAACATGTTGTAAAATATCACGAATATAATTCTGATTTTGATATGGAAATTGACGACTTGATCACACTTAATGGATTTAGCGTCGCTACTGTATGGCGCTACCCAAAAGACATAACAAACTGCCTAAGTCCTAGTTGTGGCCTTGAATTCAAAAGTCGCTCTGCTGCAATAAACCATTACAGAAAACAACACGCTGCCCATTTCAGTCTTTGTTCCATTTGTGTCAAACCTGTTTCTGCGAGGAATTTTATACGGCATTATAAGAAAATGCATCCTGACAGTGAAGTGCCAACATTTGTAATTGGAGACATCAATCATTCAATGAATGAACTAATCCATGAGCAAGAAGTATAATTTCTACAACATTTTTCATATGAAATATTCTGATCGAGGTGTGCATTTCAGGTGAATGAATCCGATAATAACCACAAGCGGACTGGCTCTAAAGACAATTTGATCACACTCAGCGGATGCGGTGTGCAAACATTTTGGCGATTTCCTAAAGGCCATTAGGAAACGTTGTCCAGTTCATCAATGCAATTTTATCTCTAATTCCAATTCAAAGTTAATTGCTCACTACAAAGTCAAACATGCCAAGCGAGCAATACTGTGTGACATATGCAACAAACCGATTTGCTCGCACGAGAAAACGAAATTTCAAAATCATTTTCGGAGAATGCATCCAAATGTGAAAGTTCCGTACGGACTTGGAAATGGAATGGTTGGGAAAACCAAGAGACGTCGAGTGATCAACTTTACATCGAAAAGCAAGAGAAACAAGAAAGCCATCATCAAGGGCAAGCGCAAGCAGTGTGAATACTGTAGCAATATTCTCTTAACTAAAAATTATGCCCGACACTTAAGAGAAGTTCACGATTTAGAAATTCGATGCCCTTCAAAAGACTGTGAATACACAGCAGAACAAATGTTCTTAATACACCAGCACTGGAGCTACGAACACCCCTTTCTCCAATTTCCAGATATTCGTAAAGGCACCGCCTTCATTTACAAAAGATCATTGAGAAGATCGCCAAGCAACAATAACCAAAAAGATGTAATTACTATCTAACCTCCTCAACAATATTTTTCGTACAATCGAAATGGAAAATTATTCCAAAGAATTAATAACTTTCAAGATTCAAATAACTTATTTCGTTCAAAACCTAAACAACAACACTTTTTAATGTTTTATTGCAAATAGGTTCGTCAAGATGTCTCGGCACTTTCTGCAGAGGATAGCCTACTAGCCCCTCTTCCCTATCAAGCAACCGGAAGTGGATTTTTATCGGAATTGTCTGATCTTGAGAGTGACGACGAGTCTATATTTTCTGACATGACTAAGAAAGCCACTCCACCTGAAACGAATGGTAATGCATCAGTTGCTATGAACCAGTCAATAAGTGACGAAATAAGCCCAGAAGTACGATCAACTCAGCTGGAATTGATAGCACAAAGCAATTCACAAAAACCAGCAGATGTGCAAGCGAAAAGCATGCTTCAAGTGACCAGAGTTTTTTCTATACCAGAATCAACGTTTAAATTAAATGCCGAAAATGATGACATCGTATCTATATCCGATGACAAAACAAACGGTGAAGAGCAGCAAACTCAGGCGGGTATCGAGCAAAGTGTTTCACCAAATCAAAGAGTTCGTCAGTCAGGAAGCATGGTTCAACATGTAGAAATGGACACCGTTCCACGGCCAGCTGTTGAAACGGACATAATTTCCATTTCTGATGATGAAGAATCGGTCATCGATATTTCCGACGACACAGACGAGGATGGAACAACAAATGCTGTCGAGCAAGTGTCCAAAAGAGCACACATTTCAGCATTACAGGTTCTTTACATGGTAAAATTGGATAATAAATCGTAGAATTCACAACAGGTTTAACTCATCATTATGTTTTCTTTCAGTTTCAAGAAGTTGACCCACCCATTGAGGTACAAGATGATGAAGAAGGCTCACTTGTTAGTATTTTCCACAACTGATATTTTATGTTCGATTATATTAATTAATTCACACTTTTTCCTATTTCAGATTGAACAACAACCTCAACAAAGGGTCAATGGTGAATTGGATGAAAATTTGCCAGCAGTAAGTATAAATGAAAGCAATTTTATTAAATACCCCAAAAGGACAAAATAATTTCAATATATCAACTTTTTTTCAAAATTGATCGAACTTTTCATTTTTATTGCATGTTTTTCTATGAAGCCAGAGACAATTGGAATTCCCCAAGCTGCAATCGATGGAATTGACGACACTATGAATGATGATTTTGACTGGAGCCTACTTCAGGACTGAAATAGCGTTAAATTCAATGAAATATCTTGCAAATACTTTAAAGCAAAATAAGCTAATTTTTAATAATAATTCACTCAATTTTTCATACAAAAAAAATCTTGCAATTACAAAATCACGTCATTGAACGACCAAATATAAATTACTACATATTTTTTATCAATTTATAATATAATAAATGTTTTTCGTCTTGAAATACTTCGATATTCGCAATTTCGAATTTACTGTGTTTATGACAACAATGGCAACGAAAGTTTTACAATATTACTAACGTTACTTATTTTGTTCTCTCTTTCTTTTCAGATCGCAGTCGCCGCATTAATGAAAACAAATAGACAATTGAGTTGAATTTTAAAAGAAGGAAAATTTTAACCAAAAAAAAAACAGTATGACTAGTGAAAGTGCTTTATCGAAACTCGTAATGGGAAAAGAAACTCTATCAAGTATTGTAAGTATTTAACTACTTTCTCAGAACTATCAAAAATATATACATTTTGATTGGTTATTATAACAAATTTGACGGCTTATTCCGCAGGAATTATCAAGTGAAAGTGATGCAGAAGACGATCTGATTACACTCAACGGATGCGGTGTACAAACGGTATGGCGCTTCCCAACAGATCTGAAGCATTGTCCAAATCTACGTTGTGGCCTCGAGTTTGGCGTTCGATCCGATGTAATTGTTCATTACAAAAAGTGCCACGCCAGCCATTCGATCCTTTGTCCGATATGCGACAAACCAATTTCTGCACAGTCATCAAAAGATTTCAAGTCACACCATAAAAAAATCCATCCAAATGAAGAACTGCCATATGATTTAGGCGCAAAGAGAAAACGAAAAGTAAGTCAATTTGTTACAATAGTTGAGAACAACTGAACTACTCATTCAATTACAATACAGTTTGACAACTAATCAATTTAAATTTATTACAATTAATAAATTATGATTTAAATTAAAATAGGCCAAGAGCTCCATCGAAACGAAGAATAAGAAAAAGGACGAGCGAACTGAATCTGAAACATATTCCGAAGCAGAAAATGAAGATAGTAATGTAGATGACTTAATCACACTAAATGGGTGTGGTCATATCACCCAATGGCAATTTCCCCGCAATCAAAAACATTGTCCATCCCATACGTGCTGTGAAGTATTTAAATCTCGATCGGCAGCAATCTCTCACTACCAAGAAAAGCATGCCGATCATTCGATTCTCTGTAGCATCTGTAACAAACCTATTGCACTGAGCGTTACCAATGGAAGGTACCATAGTCGCCATAACATTTTAAACCATTATGAAAGGATGCATCCAAACACGAAAGTTCCATACGATTTTGGAGATTGCAACGAAGTAACGGAAGCGACGGAAGATGGCAATTTCGAGGTAAATACTATTCAAATGTATATGAATTCGATTTATGATGATCGTTATCTTGCTTTACAGTCTGTGAATGATGACCAAAAAGATCTCCTTTGTCCGCTGAAGGATTGCAATTTCAAATGGAAGCGAACGGTTGAATTGCGTGAACATTGGAATAGAGCGCATTCATATTTGCGATTTCCCGAACTCCGGGAGGAAAGCGAATTCACGTACAGTACCACCGAAAGTGAAGAAAATGTGTGTACAGTATGGTTTTGTATTCAATTTCTTTTCGAATCAATTTCGAATTTCCAATTGCAGGTCCACTGTCCCGTGTCATCGAGTGCATCAGTTCAACCATCAGTATCTACTATGGAAGCAGAATCGTCATCGAATGCCTTCACGACGGGGGCATCGTCGAACACATCTGATGGTATGGAGCCAGAATCATCAACAACTGCATATACAACTGAGCCGAAATCATCGTCATCATCGAATTGGCGTACAACGGAGCCAGAAATGACATCCACATCCACAATGGAGCCTGAGACGTCAGCGAACGATGCATATACCGGGACTGAATTAAGCGTGGGTTGAATGAAAAAAAATGATATAGCTTCAAATAACAAAGAAAATCTAATTTGCTAATAGACCCAAGAAGAATCATCAATCTCGATCGTTCAACGGGATGATTTTGGATCGGATGATAGTTTATTGGAACCTTTTCGAACTAGTGACATAGGCGATAGCTCATCATCTCAAGACTCATCGAATGAAGACGATTTGGATTGTACTCAATGCAATCGATCGTTTCAGAGTGTTGCTGGCTTGCGAAGACATTCGATGATCCAACACAACATCCATTCAATTCGATCAGGGCACACAGTAAGTGTTAGGACTCATTTCTAATGCAGTTTTTCTAATAATGCTCTTTTTAAAGGTTCAAAAAAGGAAGCGACCGAAACCGAGCTCATCGGAAAGCAGCAGTACCACGGGTCATATGATCATAAAAAAAGAGAAAATGGTGAGTATTCTGTGAAATAAGAACATGACTTTGAATGACATTCTTTTCTCAAATAAAATAGGAATCCAATGATTCTGATGACGATAACATTCCACTAACGGAACTCATGAAGGCCAATTCGCAAAACGATATGCTGCTTGAAATGGAATGCATGGTTGTAATAGAAAAAATGAACCCTATACCTAGTAGAACACCGAGCTTAGTATCAACACAAATAGATGCAGAAGAAGAAAATCTAGGGGAAGAAGGAGAAATGGTAGAGGCCCAAGCCTATGATGTAGTTCAAGAGGAAGAAGTAGATGAAAAACCGTTGGATTTGTCGATTCGTATGCGGCAAGTGGATGATACAGACATTATTTCAATATCTGATACCGAGGATGTACCCATCATTATTTCCGATGATTCAGATAACGAAACAGATACTGAATTAGGCAAAGCACAAAATGAACAACAAATGGTGAGTGTCTTTTGCCATACATTCCAGTCTTTAGGATTGCTCTTATTATCATTACAACATTTGCTTATTTGCGATAGAATCGACAAGCAGATCACATGGAACGTGCTGAGCGCGTTGAATCGACCGATACTTTCATAGAAATCATTCAGGCAAGTGGACATGTCTCCCAAACCGACCAAGAAGCAGAAAACAAAGGAAATGAAGAAAACATACATTGTCAGGTTTGTTCATTTTTTGGGTGAAAATCATGTCTGCTACACTGCATAAAAAAATCAGAGATCATTAATCTATACATTTGATCTTCATTCTCATCAAACTTTGCTTTTACTTAGGCCCAATCACCAAGTATGAGAAGAAAAGTATGTCCCATCAATTTTCCTGTTCAAAACCAAAATCTTTAAGTACAACGGACCAAAGTCATTGAAAGAAGAGGCTAACCTAATCTAACACCAAATATTCCACCCTTTTTTTACTTTAAACATTTCGTACAAATAAACCACCTTCATCAATAAGTTAGTGTTAAGTTTACAAACAACAACATATAATTGCTATTTAGTGTGTAATTTTTGAAATAAAATGATCCAAAGAATAAATCATATCCCAAAAGTTGCTCACAAAATTGGAATTTGATTTAATTAAATTGGTATTTCACCAGTCGAATCCCATTTCGAATCACCATTGAATCGGATCATTCTACAAGCACCGTGTGGTAGGTAAGTAGTTTTTCACAGTTTCGAGATATTTTTTCCTATGAAATTTTCCTTTTCATCGGAACACGCAGAAGAAATCATTGGAAATTATGCAAGAAAAATCTGATCTTTCAGTTGAACCGAATGACAGCTAAACATTCAAATGTTTGGAAATCCAAATGTGCTGATACAACATCGAAGCGACGTCTTTTGCTCAAGGCAATATTGTGATGTGACTACACTACCCACACACACACATTGACAAAGTCCGTTCGGTATAGTTTGCTCTCTCACACGCTCACTATGTATCAACACAATCGAACGTAACAAGTCATAATACACCAGTTCACGTTTCATCAGAAACGATTAGATACGCTATCCGATCGCACGTCGACCACAACTGCTTGTGTGCACGTTGACGACCTATTCAGAGGAGCAATATTTTTTGTTTAGTGTATTCATAGCATGTGTCAAAATAGTTTCGATTTGAAAATGTTGATTAATTAATTGAATTGCATGAAATAGTCGAATAAAAAGTTTTGTTGACTAACTGTTCAGCTGCTAAATCTGTGACGAAATACAATGAGTGACATCGACGCAATATCGGTATCGGTAAGCAATAACACTATTTCATCATTGCTGTTTATTTTTTCATAATTGTAATCGTCAATTTTGATCAATACATTGAATAATCCTTAGGATGAGATTTCTGATGACATCTTCAATGATTTCGTCACATTGGGAAAATTGTCAGCGTTCAAGACTCCAATTAAATGGCAGTTTCCAGACACCAAACATTGCCCACTATGCGGAATCTCATGCTCCACTCGTAACATTGCGCTGATACACTTTCGAAATACACACGCTGATACGTCAATGGTCTGTGTTTTATGTGACATACTCTTTTGTGATGCCGCCCAGCTTCTATATCATCACGCACTACAGCATCAGAATCATCTGCCGCCAGAATTAAAAGCAGTAATAAAATTTTTTTATGTTTATATGTTTTATTAATAATCTCTACTTCATCTTTTGGAAATACCGGTTTGAACTCATAATCATTAAATGAAACATTTTGAATTTTTGTTTCAACAGAGCAATACCATCACAGAATTTAAGGAAAACGTAGTTAAACCGCAAAAAAGTGCTGAAAATGAAGAAACAAAAGAAGAAGACGACCAGGACGACGATGACGACGATGACGGCGATGATTTAATCACACTCCATGGATGTGGAAAGACGACCCATTGGCGCTTCCCAAGGGATATTAAACATTGTCCAGTCCACACTTGTCGCATTCAGTTTGGCATTCGATACGATGCGATCAATCATTATAAAAAGCGACATGCAAAGCATTCCATTCTCTGTCCAATATGTGTCAAACCAATCTGTTCGCAAAAACCAAATGAATTTGTGAGGCATTATCGGAAAGTACATCCATATCAATTGTTACCGTATAATATGGTAGCAAGAAGTAAAGCAAATGTAAGCAAAACCTCATATTAAAAGCATTGATATGATGAGCATTGACATTTTAATGTGAACTCAATTTTAGCTTCAGGTGAAGGAGACATTGAAGAAAGGTGACGGCAAACCAAATGATTTCGAAATGCCATCTTACGTCAAAGACAGCACAAAAAGTCCAAAACTACCACTTAAAATACAAACAATGAAAAAGGTATGCAACCAAGGTGCCAAAGGTACCAAATGTGACCTTTGTCAGATTTCATTTCTTCTAAATCACTGCCATAATTATTTCAGGAGACAGCAAAAACTATGGAAAATCATCACAATCCAGTCGAAGAAGAAGAAGACGATTTGATCACGCTCCGAAGAGGTGGAAAATGGCGATTTCCAAATGGCTTAAAGGGCTGTCCAATTCATACATGTTATTCTGTGTTTAAAACACGCCGACAAGCAATCGCTCATTTCAAAAGACAACATGCCAAATATGCAGTTCTCTGCACTTTATGTGAGAAGCCAATAAACGCTAGAAATTATCGGCCTCATTGCAAGCGAATGCATCCAAATGGGGAAATTTCGGTCAAACCCAAAGCGACACCGACAAATGTAAGTAAAATGAAGAACAGTGAACTATTGGTCGTTGAATCAAATTCCATAATGTTTAAATGTTCATGAGACAAACGGGTGAATACTATTGAGACCTGTTTTATTCTTTCTTTCATAAGTTCGTTCCTTGCAAAATATGTGGCAAACATATCACCGGCAATATGAATAAACACTTGAAAGTTCACTCTAAAAAGAGGTTTATATGCCCAATGAAAGGATGTCAACATGAAGCAAAGCAACTGGATACAACACGTGATCATTGGCAGAAAAATCATTCACATTTGCCGTTTCCCGAAATTCGGAAGGCCAGCAATACTCCGAGAAATATCAAGCAACAAGTAAGTAGGCTTTGTCACTTCACAACTGATTAATTGATTGTGTTCTGAATCTTAAGCCAGTTTCCGAATAAATGCTAACAAAAATTGTTTCTCTATTTATTCTCATCTGGAAAGATCAAAACAATGTCAAATACTCCAAGTCAGAACGTGACTTCAGATCAACAAGACTCTTTAACTCGGCCAGAGGATAACGAATCAGAAGAGAATTTATTGACACCGCTTCGCACAGCATCTGAACCATCTAGTGAAGAAGAAATAAATTTGCAGTGTACCGATTGTCGTTACGTCTCAAAAACGGTCTTTGCTTTGAAGATGCATCAACACAACAAGCATAGCGTAATGCTTTGAACTAAATTACACATGAACCGGGAAAGAAATAAAAACTGATAATATTTTCAGATGGTGAAGAGAAGGAAGAAGAAGCGAGTGGTGTCACAATCAAGACATTACGATACCACAACTGATGACGACGATGAAGAAGTGAAGAGGGCAGCCAAAAGGCGCCGATTGGTAAGGAAATTGAGAAAAATACATGTAGAAGCAGAACTTTTCACATAATTTGAATTTCATTTCTGCATGTTAGGTAAAAAAGCGAGCTCGAGACTCTGGAAACAATGACCGTGATCGCGATGAAACATCGAACTTGGAACGATCAGAAGGCCAGGACGATCCATTGGAACAGCACGAGTCTAAACACACATTAACTCCATTTAACGGTTTGACTGATCTATTGACCTTTGTTCAGGCCAAAGCCGATAATGACCCATCGGATACGGCTCAACCATTGGATTTATCAATTCCCAAAGTAATTTATGTACTTGATTCCGATGAAGAAGCTATAATCATCGACTCTGAAGACGATGTGAAACCACCAATTACATCGCAAGACAATTCCAGTGAAAATTAACATGCAATGCATGAAAATGTATTGAAATACATTATAATTTAGGTTAAGCATTCGCATTTAACATGAATAACTTATAGAGCGAACAGAAAAAAAATATTTAAAGCAAATTCGATAGTTTGTAACAATTAAATTTAGAAGAAATAAGACAAAAATGACTAAAAATCCAATTGAATATTGTCAAGAACAAACAAAGAAGATTTCCACCCTTAAAAACAGATATTTGAATCGTTCATACTGAAAAAATTATCAAAAATTTCAATTCAATTCATTTTTTGTTCATACATTTGATAGCATTGAAATAGTGGGACATACATCAAATCAGATGAAACAGTTCACATGCTTGGAATAATTTTTTTTTCGATAATAATAAAAAAACAATGTTGTTTAGAAATTCAAAAAATCGTTTTGATTTGTATGTATTCGGTATAGTATGCGTTTTCTCTTTGAAATAATTCATTCCAAATAAAATTTGATCCAAAATTCCATTCCAATCAGATACAAAGTCAAATTCCATTCAGAATCGATGTGAAGTTGGTTTCTGCCGCCGTCGTCGTCGTCGTCGTAAACATGGCATTCGTTTCGCCAACCACTTGTGCGATTCAAACTGTGTGCGTGGCAAAGTTATTTCAGGCATTCATTTCATTTGTAAACATCTATGCGTCATACCGATACATTCACAAACACAGCTTCGCTACTGGTGTTTGTGTTGAAAAGAACCGTTTGTGCAATAGCCAAAACAAGCGATTATGTGAGCATTTGCTGAGTGAAGTGACACAAGTATATACGGTACCAAATCACATCAGCAACAAAGCGAACATTGTTTCTCTTCTCTGCGAACGAAATCACAGCACGTGTTTATTTAGAGCCGATTCGACGCTCATTTAGTGTTTTGACATTCAGTGAATCAGTTGTGAAACAAAAGTAACGATTGTCAAATGCGACGCATATTTACAAGTCAAACGAGTGATATGTGAATTGTTTAAAATGTGCAGTGAAGACGAAAATTTCTCGGTAAATATAAAAAAATTGAAGAGTTTTTTCAATCAATTGAATCTTGAAATTGAATTGTGTTTTTGATTTATTCGATCAGGAATCGGCGGGCGATAATTCCGAAGACGATTTGATTACATTGGGCGAGCTCACGGAATATGAAAGCACGGTATGTACTCATTTTTCAAATGGAACAACTCGAATTTTCGTTTTACCACAACAGAGGTTCTGTTTCTTTGGTCTAAAAGGTGTGGCGATTTCCAGACATAAGACGTTGTCCCGTTCGATCGTGCGGTATGCATTTTGAAACACGAGCAAAGACCATTGAACATTATCGTAAGACTCATGCAAAGCACGCTGTTTTGTGTCGCATTTGTGATTATCCACTGATGTTGTTAACAGCCGCACATCATTTGGTTGGACATTATGCTCGCAAGCATCCAAAAGATACTCCACCAGTGAAAGTGAAAACGACACGGGTAAATAAGACATTTGGTTTTGACATAAATGAACTGTTTTCTGATGGGTTTTTTTTCTCCTTATTTTCTGCAGCATGAGTGTTTAGAGTGCCACTCCACTTTCAAAAACTATGTCTACTTGAACAATCACATGAATAAAATTCATCGGCGACAATCAAAGAAGGGAAAATCTTCCGCGTGGCGTAAACCAAAAAAAGGTCAAGCAAAGAGACGAAAAGTGACAAAAGTGGACAATAACCTGTTCACATCAAAATCATCCGTTAAGAGTGACAAAACAACAGAATCTTGGGAAGATATTGAATCGGTAGGCTTGGTGTTTACCTCTTGATCGTATTTCAATTTTATTTGTAAATATTATCGATTCAATTGCAGGACATATCAACCTCGGTTGATGCCACATCGGACACCGCCAATGACTCTCAAGACGTGTCGGATCCATCGACTCAGGCAACAACGAATTCCATCCGACAATTGGTTAAGCGTAAGGCACGCTCGTTCAATCCACAAAACAAAGTGAGTTTTAGAATATAGCTCGTGTAATTTGACATCATTATTCTCAAAATTGTTTGTCAATTTAGTTGCGATCATGTACGATCTGTGGCAGATTCCTAAAAAACTATTTGCTTGCCAACAATCATTATCGAAAAGCCCATGGTCGAACGGTGTCGATGTGCTCGTTTTGTGGAAAGTATTTTGACAAATCAACAGCGCTCATTCAGCACATGAAGAAATTTCATCAGTTTCGATACGAAATCGCCGCAAAACTGAACAATGTAAAGAATTTCTAGTAAATTGTCCATGCTGAGAAGGAATATTCGTTGACAGTTTACAAACGAATCTAGTCTTAAGTGACCTTTTAACAGTCTAAAGTGATGAATTTTTTTTTTCAGTTTCGGGGTTTCAAACCTTTGGTGAAACCAACCAAGTTGAGAAAAAGTGACGCAAACAAGAAAGGCCAGAACGATGTAAAACAAAAGCGAGGAACAATGTCAAAAGACGCACCAAAACATAAAAGGACGCTGGAAAAAGGTGCCTTCTCCCCAAAAACGTACGAATCGAATTTGACCAAACAAATTGATGGGCCAATGGAGGTACTTACTCAAAAATCCGATACAAATTCAAATGGGTTCAATAGTTTAATCACCATCTTTTACAGGTTCCATTCGAAAATGGCGAAGCAAACGATGATGATATCAGTCAGGACGAGGTTATTACTTTGGGTGAAATGACAGAATATCCGACAATGCGATGGCATTTCCCTGACACGACCGCTTGTCCGCGAACAAATTGCAAGCAAAAATTCAATACTCGTAACGAAGCCTTCAAACACTACCGTGATCAACACTCCATTTGGGACGTGCAGTGCAAAGAGTGTAATATTTTGGTGTCATTGTCTGGAGCTCACAATCTCATAAACCACTACAAACGTTCACATCCAAACGTTGATCTACCGGCCAAAGCCTTTGAGAATAAGGTACACCTCTTGCTACTGATTCAATGCATAATTCACTGAAGACTAACCCGCATTTCGTTCCGATTCGATACAGACTACGTGCCATGTGTGCCAGAAGGTGTTGTCATTCCAACAGATGCGTGTGCATTTGTTTACACGGCACAATCAAGATGCACCGAGTATACCATCCAAAATGGTAAAGAGCGATCGAATTCTAAAGCGCAAATCGCTGAATTTGAAACGAATGGATTCTGAAACAAAAGCAAGTCAATATGTTTATTTCAAGAATAACAACAAGTTTCCATTGCAAAATATTCTAACGACCATCTATTTCCAACATTTTGTTATAGCAAGCGAAAAGTTCTGCAAGATCATTGCTTAGAAGCAAATCGGTTTGCCATCCAGGCTATTCAGCATCATTCGTAAGTGTTTTGAACATTTTCTTACTCTAAGAGATCAAGACATTTCCATTCTTCAACAGACTACCGCGAAGAAAAATGCTCAAGACGATGAAAATGACGAAGTGCCAGTGTCAAAAGGTGTTCCAATTGAACGAACACGAGCAAATGTTCTTGATGCGTCTCACGTGCAATCGACACATGATCCCCCACAAACAGAGCAGACCTCACATATCAACCCACAGTCCAGTTCGAATGATCAACGCAAATCACAACGCTGTGTATCCACTTCTGAATTGTCGCCAAAACAAAAGACTCGCTCGACGGGCGTTCGAAGCAAAGTAAATCATTTTGATTTGGCTATATTCGTATAATGGTTTATAGTATTTGCTCTAAAAATTTTAAATTCATTTTCATCAATTTTTGGTTAGGGTTGCACGATTTGCGGTATGGTTCTTTCGACTTATGTGATAGCCTGTGAACATTACCATCGGCTCCATGGTCGAAATGTTATGATGTGCCCGTATTGTGGACAATATTTTGTGCAAGGACATTTGCTCACCAAACATGTGATGGCAGTGCATTCTGAAGACAGTGCCTATGCGGTAATGGTAAATTTTTTCAAACATTTTCATAGATAACTTGACTGATTGCATACAAAATTCAAGGCAAAAAAGGCAGACGATCATATCACAACGAAAGAAGGAGGAAAAGGAGCAGTAGAAGAATCTCAGAACGATATTGATGTACCTGATGCCCAGACACACAACGCTGAAACGCACGATACCCACTCACATGACACTGAGGCACCTGTTTTTGATGCTATTCCACCGATGCAACCAGTAGAACTGGGTACGGCAGCAGAGAAACAGGAATGTGCTCAAGACATGCAACCAAATGATGAGCCCTTAAATTTAACCGTTCAGAAGGACTCGGACTTTGGTGTAATTGACCTAGCCAGCGGTGCATTAGATTTAAGTCGAAAGAAATAACCAGATTAGTTTCTCAGCGTTCAAATCATTTTGCGGAATAGCTTATTGAAAAATCAAGTTCATATTCAGATGAAAACAAAAGAAATGATCGGAAAAAAAGTAAAAATAATGCAAAGAGATAATGAAAAATGAACAAAAGAAAACAACAAACAACAAAAAACCCGTTTTCTTGCCGGAAAGAAAAATAAAAAAATCAAAATCAGTATTGAAAGTCATAAAATTAAAAACTTCTTGAGAAAAAAATGGTAGAATAAATATGTCAAGAATAGATTTTCTCAAATTTTGTAAATGCAATTTGCATAAAATTCAAAAACCGTGTGATGATAGCTGGCAAAAGTCAAGCAATATTAATATTTTCACAACAAAGTCATATTCAAAGTCAATGAACAGCCAGCAATTATACAGAAAAAAGATTCAATAGCAATGATAAAGTGTACGACGCAATAAATAAAATTCCCATTTTTTTCTATTCAATTTTTCTTGTTTATCTGCTCAAATCCCATGCAATGTGAATGAATCCAAATCTACGGGCGAGACACAAATTCTATTAGAGTCTAGTTATACTCAATTTCATATATTTTTTGCTTTATATCCTCTAATTTTTCTAGTTTTGGTGCAAAAGTGCTAATATTGCGCTATTATTTCTAGTAAAATCGCTTGCAGAGCTTATTACACTGTCAATACAACGCTTATGGAAGACCTAACGGGACTATTTTGTAAACAATAAACAATACGTCCATAAGCGTTAACATTGGCAAACCAAACTCACTAATTTCTTCTATTTTTCCTATTATCGTTGAATAATGTTCTAATTTTACTCATTTAAATTTCGTGTCTCTCAATTAGATTCAAATGAAATCAAAGCATGCGATTATGTGTGAAGTTGGTTGTCATTAGTTTTGCGGGTCTATCAAATATGACTCAAAGTGTCATTAAATTTTGACTGCTGCCTTGAGCTGATCGTATATTGGTTGTCTTAGGTCTCGATAACGTTTTCTTTATTCCATCCAATACATTGCAGTAAAATTCACAGTTGGGAAAAATGTTGCCAACGAATAGAAAGGTAAGTTCTTAAATATATCTAATGAAATTTTGTGAAACACATTGAATTGCTTATTCTGATCAAATTCTGGTCATACAAACAACAGATTTCCGTATTGAAAAAGCAGCACATGGAATCCGAGTTGATTCAACAGCATTTGAATAAAGTGACAAAATCCAATTGCTGCCTGATTTGCGAAGTAAGTTTTCCCGACAACTTAGCTGTTCACAATCATTTTTTGAATGTTCATCAAAAAGGTGTTTTCTTGTGCAACGTTGCTCAATGTAATTATGTGGCGAACACAAATGGAGATCTGCGAATGCACTGCTTGGTTTGGCATTACGATCATTTCCCGTCGGGCATAACATTGCCGGTAAGAGGTTTCATCGATTTATTTTATGCATTCATCTAATCTAGAGCGTTTACTGTAGCAAAATTCCATGGTGATGACGTCAACGCTGAATACTGTTGTGATGACATCAGTTCAAATGCCAGTGATGACATCAGCACCAAAGACATTGCCGTCAGATGCAAAGACAACGTCAGATGCAAAAACAAGTGTGACTTTAGATCCAATGGCGATAATTACCTCAATTCCAAAGACGTCACCCGTAATGCCAACGAGCATACAACCTCCGAAAGAGAAAAAACAAAAACTTGATATAACAATCGGTCAATCAATGTTTGCACCGATTATCAACAATTTAAAGTGCTCAACGTGTGCTCATCCTTTTCTCACCCAACTCGGCATCAATATGCATCAAAGATATCATCGATTCAATTTATTTTTACCCAAACTCAAAAAGGTATTCTGCTGCTTTGGTTTATCATTTGTTTTGTTTATCACTAAACGTATTGAATTTTATACAACAGATGAGTGACATAGAAACGTTAGACGAATTGAAGCAAATTTTGGAGATTAGCGACGAAATTGGTGATGAAAAAGGCATTGCAGGAAGCAAACTGCCACTTCAACGCATCACAAACAAAGAGAATACGCCCGTTAGAAACACAATCATTGAGGCAAAACGGCTGGAACGACTACAACAGCAACAACAACAACAACAAGTAGAACAGTCGCAGAAGCAGCAACAGAAAGTACAACAGCCCCAGCGAACGGATCAATGGGCAGAGATGCTCAAATTGACTAAGGTTTGTTTCATAGCATTGAAAAAAGTCTGAATGAAAAATGAGTCATAATTCCGATTGGTATGAATCGCAATTTATAGGTGAACATAACCAAAAATTTACAACAGTTCCAAACACTTGCTGGCGTTCAAAAAATTATCGACATGGTTGACAACGCAATGCCAATACAGCAAATAATGACGAATGTGCGAGATACAAGGAAGCGCCCATTATCACCAGCTGGCTCAGTCGTGTCAATATCATCCGATGAAAGTGCCATAATGGAGAACAACGAGATGGATTATTCGTACGACGAGGTCGATATTGATATTGAATTTTGATCATTTTTAGTAAAATGTACATTGTACAATGTACATGTAGGGAAAGAAAGTGTAAAAATTGCAAAGACATGTAGATTTTTTTTTTCTAAGGATTTGTTATTGAATCAAATAGTTGACAGAAGAGTCAAAGCAATCATTGGGACTGAATGTTGTATTTACGTTTTATGAAAATTTTGTTTTGGAAGAAATTGCGTTGAATTTTCATCATGAGATGAATACATTTTTATAAAATATCAAACTGAAATGATGATAATGTTAAGGACTTGGCTTATTTTGCCTCAATACCTCATAATCGGGAAAATTTGTTTGTGAAGAATTTTGAAAGTATTTATCATCTAATAAAAATATTTACTTTATCAAGAAAAAGAAATGTACGCGCCCATATGCTGTTGCTTTATCTTCATTTTTCGCACGTAAAAGCATTCCAATCTTTTTTTTTGCCAGCAACTTTTATGTATCAAGTTAAGCTCATATGTGAGTTCATGCCTTAAAATGGCATAATCTCCGAAGTGAAAAGAGAAAACGACCAACATAAAAAATGCGTGAAGTCATATGGCTAAATGGATCAATGCGGCAGCATAAAAATGTCTACATCAACTCATATCTAGATATGCACACTTTTTTCTGAGAAAAATAATTTGCCATTTGGTGGATGGGAGGGGGAGTTCATCTCTTTTTCAGCGCAACAAAGTGGAAACACATGTTGTAATGCTGAAAATTGCCAGCCAATATCAGCTGTAAAAAACCAGAAATATATATGCACAAAACGAATGAAAGTCTTGGCGTGTGGTGCAGAATGAAAGTCTTAAACCTCTAATAGCAATGTATACAAACACAACGAAACGCTGGTTTTTAGTAGGAGACACACAGAAAAGAAAATTGCTATTAAAACACTTCCCAAAATCATTTTGATTCTCGCAACTCTGTTTGTCAGGGAACCAGGGACCCAGTTGTCATCAAGTAAATTCTAAATTCGATTCAATTTTGACTTTTAAATGAATTTGACATGAAACCATTCAATACGCTTTTATACTATCAAAGAAGAGTGTAACATTTACTCAAATTTGATATTCAATAGCGTACAGCATCAAAAATTGTTTAAAGAGTAAGAAATATATGTAAATAAAATTTAATTTTTCTCATTCGATTTTTTAATCGAATCAATTTGAATTGAGTTTTTCATTCCATTATAAATTTTGAATATCCAATGTTGGTGCAACTGCTAGCATTCAGATACACATATGACATATATACGTACGATGTATCACACCAACATAACTATAGCCGAACTTGTTGCTCCTTGGTTGCATGTGTAGTTGTGCCCACACCACCCAAACGTGTCTCGCGCCAAATTTTCTCGGAACATCGATCGTTTTCGCTTCACATGTAACAACACATCGTGAAAATAGTCCAATCTTGACGAATTGAAACATCGTATGGACGGAAAATATTTTCCGGTAAGTTCAAATTTTTTGTGAAAAGCTTTTTCGGGACCAATCCTTTGAATAACTATCCAATTTTGCAATGAAATGTTTTGCCCAAGTTTTGTTCATTTCATGGATTAGTTATATCGTCGTATTGTATACAATACTAACCGGACGATACATACGTATACGTTTTGTTTGATTTGAAAATGAGTAAATTTGCGTCTAATTTTTATTTTGTTTATTCACAGACAAACCACAAACATTAATACAGATATTTTTCTACATTTTCATAGCTACAATGGAGGAAAATATCGTACCGATTCAAAATGCGTTTTGGCAAAATGTTCAGTCCGAAGTATGGGTGGCACTGGATCAGTTTAGACAATCCGGACGGAGACTCACGAAAAAATTCATTGACAGTTTTAGAAAACAGACCCATTTACGGTAATTTTAATAATCATTTTACACTATACTGCGGCGCATTCGTCCAGCAGTAAAGCAGAGAGTCAAATTTCATTTCCCGTTTTGTGGACGTGTCAGAAATACCACACAAACATACATAACTGATGAATATACTTTTATCGATCTCTTATAATAAAAATGAATTTACGTTGTAGAGTGACTGACACATGCCAACGATATATAAACGAATCAAAACGGAAACTGCTAAGCTCAATGGCCAAAACGGCAACAAAAGCAGAAACTTCAAAGGTCGAAGATGTAAAGAATGTCAGCAAAGCAACCGAACAACCGAAAAAGCGACAAAATGAAGGTACTTCTTCGTCAACTCAGCCTCCTTTTAAGAAGCAGCGAAAAGCGGAGCTTAAAATGGATGATCACGGAAGTGGTATGATATTGAAATTAGGCTTTGATTGAATCGATTGCGTGTGTATGGCTAAAGAAAGCCTTCTTTTGTCTTTCAGACGATAAAATCGACATACATGATGACTTGCTGTGCACAACTTTCTTTTGTGTTCATTGTTTGGACGACAAAAACCCGGCAAAATCTTTCAGCGGAACGATTGATGATGTGTACAGCCATTGGTTGGCCAAACATGCGGACGAATTGCTCTCAAAGCCTTTCAATTTCTACGCTGTGGCTTCAGTCGGGTGTTTTTACTGCAAAAAAGGTTGGCATGTATCACGAGCTGGTGCAACATCACGAGGACAAACATGCTGGCCAACAATTTGCGATTGTTAACCGTGGTGATCGCGATCAATGTGGCTTGTGCCGCTCCGAAAACGATGACATGACAAACCATTTCAAAGTGGAACATGATATGAAGTCAGTGCCCAAGATATTCAATCCGATTTGCTACACAGAGAAATTGATCGACGAACTCCTGAAAGTCAATACACATATGAAGTATCAATGCGAGAAATGCAATCAACTGTTCGCAACACAAGTTGAAATCGCCGTACACTTCGCAAATTCACACAATGGTGAAACAGTTCAATCGAAAGAGCTTAAAAACCATGGAAGCACACCAGATCACTTGATTTGCGGCTATTGCCAGGGAAAGGTCGATTATGCACGATATTCGAGCCACTTTTGGGACCATTCATACAATTTCTCTTGCTCGAAATGCAAATATGAGTCGACGAATTTGTCTGAAATGATTTATCATGAAAAGTGCCGACACCAAATTGACACAGTGAACATGCATCGCGAACTATTCGTAAATCAACTGAAAAATCACTTTTTCAAGTCGAATATAGTATGGGCCAATGGTTTGACTCTCGAAGAACAAAATGTGAGCGGAACGAAGTTTGATGGCAGCAAATCATTTAACACGTTTATCGACGGGTTTTTCAATTTCATGACGAAAGAAGCGAAGAAGAAGATCGAATTGAACGCGAGCGAGTGTTCAACATCGCAAAGTGCTCGATCACAAGCTGATTCAGCCACAACATCCAGTGGACGACATTCTACAGATCCCAATCAGTCAACTATCAGTTACGAGCTGATTAAGCAGCGTAAGCTCGTTAGAAGTGTTTACGTCCATGGCATTAGAAGTACCGTCAAAAGTCCGATGGAAACCTTCTTGAAATTGTGTCAAATGATGGGTGCGCAAGTGATGGGTGTGAACCGCTCTGACATAGAAGCAATTTACCAGCGCGATGATGCAATAATTGTGAAATTCCATGTTTTGAAAGTAAAAAAATGGTTTATATCACTAACGAGTGGTCAGTCCATTCGCTCGAACTTACTATTTCCACTGCCCAGTGGCCAGATTCCATGGAAAGTTTACATTCGAAATTCCATGACACCATTTTACCATGATATTCATGCGGCGGTGGTAAAATTGAAACAAGAAAATCGTTTGTATGCATATGACCTGTGCGAAAATGGATTTGCGATCAAAATGACAGCTAATGACCATACTGAACACATCATACAATCAAAAGAGCAATTGATGGATTTGGTTAAATATGGAAAAGTTCGAAAAGCGAAGTGAAAAACCATTTCATCTCTTTACTTCTAATATTTTTAATTTTTCCTTTTATTCTACGAATGGCTTTACAAAACAATTGTGCTAAGGCTAGATTCGCTACAGTTAACTGCAACCATTCCTTTCATTTTGCAAAATCAACAAAAACAACAATTTTTTAATGAACAGGCTTCCAGCTTATCTCCTTATTACACATAAGATAAAGTACAATTTTGTATCAACATTTTTTCTTTACTCTAAATAAATAAATGAAGTTAATGAAAACTCTTTATTTGATTCTCATATAAGTGATGATAGTAGTAAACAAGAGTAACGCCGTCTTAGCCAAGGTAACAGATTAGAACTCAGGAAAATCTCATGAGCTCTTCATGATTTTATTTTTCATTTAGGAATTTTATTCGGTATGAAATGATAACGGAATAAGAATTTGTTCTGTAAAAATGTACAGAACAACACGTTGCTTGAAATCGATTGGAGTGTCTAATATCAAGTTTTAAGTTGTGGCAGCACTGCCTCCGCCGAACTGTGTGTATCGTCAAACATTAACATTCAAATAAACATTTCAGTCCAATACGCAACACATATATACCCTTCGCGCACACCTATGTGTGTGGTTGCCTTAACCTGTATGTCGATGAATTTTGCAGCATAACGCGTCAAACTCTTTCATGTATTTTCATACGTGGACAATCGAACAGAGCACAACTCGCCGTTTAAAAAAACAGTAGAATACAAGCAATATTGTGAATTGTGGCTGGTGTTCAACGTATGAAATAGTCATAAAGCAAATTTCGATGACAATAAAGCATACTTATATGTACACATATTGCACAGAACGTTGATGGGAATCATCATATAACAATAAGTCTTTAAATAAGTTAACGAATGCAAGAAGAAAAGCTTATTACCTCACAAGTATATTTTAGTATCAAAATAATGTTTTATTCGCTTTTTCCTTGTTGATGTATGCTAAGTCAGAAAGTTGTATACTGAATTTGTAATGCGACTTGAATTGAATTCCAAAATTGAGTATTTTTCATCTTCAAACTGTTTGCCATTTCTAGAAGATGAGAATAGGAAACCGTAAGAATTATGCCTCAAGATGTCTTCAATTTCATATATAACTTATTTTTTGTAATGTTTCGAGCTGTTTTAGAATTAGAAAATATACGAAATTTGTACTTAGCCAAAGTGCTGGTTTGATAATGTTCTCCAGAAAATCCCCTTAAAAATCGATAGTTCAGAGCAAAAAGAAAATCAGATCATTGCCAATTTAATTTGCGACTGTTGAGAATGAAGTGCAATTCGATTTACATTAACCGCGCGCACATCGAGCAATGTACGAAATTGCATTTCCAGCATGCGAATATATTTTGGTGAGTTGATCCCGAGAATATGTGCTCTGTTCCGCTGCTAATTCATTACGTTATTTCCTTAATATCATTATTCTGTGCATGGGAATCGTAACACTTGTAAATTCCATTCCATGTGTATGTGTGTGAGTGCGCGAATGTGGTGCGTTTTATGTGTTAGCACAAACGGGTGTTTTGTATTCCCAGCATACAGCCGAACTCAATTTCAAATTCTATTTAGAAAATTGTTTGCCTTCACGAGAAAAGTGGAGTGGTTTGTTTTTTGTTTGTTCGCTCATCTTCTTCTGTTGGCTACGAGCTGATATCAGAGTCGGAAACGGAATAAAATTGGTTGTTTTAGTTTGCGTGCATCTGGCTTATAATGTTCAAGGATTTTCTTACATTTATTCGTCTCATGTGGACGGTTTCTTGTGCATTACAACCGCTGAGCCAATGACAGAAAACAGAGAGCATCGTAAAAACTAGAAGGAATTACTTTACCAAAACCGAATCAAGTACATAGCGCACAATAATAGCCACAACGAACTGAAAGTTTTGTGTTGAACGTTGATTTTTCCGGGTTTTGTTTATTTTCCGTTAAAATGAAACATTTTCGTCGATGCGAAAGAAAAAGACGAGCGGCATTGTGTGAGCAACAACACTCTTGCACACAATGCTCAATTTAATTAGTTTGTTGCATTTTTATTTGATTAATTGAACCATTTTTTCGATTTAAAAACTGCAACACACAGATGAAGATATTAATTCACAGGCAGATATCCATTTCACATGAAACATGTAATGCTTTCAGGGTTCTTATATCGCACGAAGAACGCTTCTTTTTCCAATTTAGACTTGGTAATAATTTTCCGAGTTCGTGCTGATCTTCCGTTACTTTTTCCAAAGTTCTAATGCAGCGGCCACAGCCTCAACCATATTATTCTATCACCGTCAAATCATTCTGTAATTTAAACATATAAAATAGCAATCAAAACATTCATCACAACGAAATATAATGCAAAACAAAAACAAATCTGGGAAAACAGTACGATGGTTCTCGTGCTCCGGTAGAATTTGTTAGAAAGAAACATTAACAAAATATTTTGCTTGAATCATAAAAATGAAGACAAACGAAGTATACGTTAAATAAGGAAAACATTTTTAAATCCATTTGGATTTTCTTGTAGAATTGGATGAGTAATGGTTTGCAGAGGAAAAAAATGCCCGGAAACGAAAAAAAATATATTTTTGGACGAGTGGAAATGTACGAATTAAATGTCAGAAAGAGTAACGTCATTCATATGAGTTGCACTTTAAATTCGGTTGTTGCTGTTGTCGTGTTGTCTAAAAACGAGCATATTATGGGTGTATATTTTTGAGCATGTACATTGTACACTGTACAGTGCTCGTTGGTATATATTCACAGCGACAGTTAAACGTATTCCGAATTCCAAGAAAAGAGCGAGAGAAAAAAAAACTCAAACAGCAAGAAAAAAGCGACACAGTCAGAACTTGGCTATGTGTATTGTTTTCACCTAAACATTGCGATTGTCTTTCCAAATAATGTTCATGTGCTGATTCACATGCGCACCGTATAAATAATTCGGTTATACGTTCTATTCGGGTTCAAATATTTTTCCTTCAATTTTGCATAAAATTTTACAAACGACTTTTTCTGCTTTACCATTTCAAAACTACTACACACGATGACTGGGAACGATGTTGTATTCGTATAGAGCAAATGCGTTGGAAATTCCACGTCACGCGATACAATATTGAAATGAAATAAAAAAAAAATCGCATAGCCCAGGGTAGAGACATTGTTTTCATTTCATATAAAATGCATAAACAATAAATAAATATACAATTTTGTGCTTGTTGGTCGCTTTTGTTTTCGTTCAATTTTTCATTGTGTCGGATCGGCTTAGAAGTTTGAGCGAAGGACGGAATGGGTGGATTCATTTTGTATTGATTTGATTATATATGTATATCGGAAGCAAATTGGCAGAGCTATTCGAAGCGCAATTTTTGGCAATTGTTTTACTGGCGTGAGGGTGAATGAAATTGTTCTATTAAGGCCGGAGCGAGTAAAAGAAACGTGGAAACACATTTATTCTCAACGGGCCAACTAAATCTAAGCCAATTCTCTTGTTGATTGGCACTTGTTTGTCCCATTCCGACTTTTACTGCAATCAGCCTCGAACACATCGCAATATGGCCGTTTGCCAATATCCATGAAAATTTATCAATATTCTCGGTGCCGTCTTTCATCGCACCTATAACTGACTATAATTTTTCCGCTGAGATAATATAATTTTCGGCTTCCGGACACATTTTGTGTTCGAGTTGGATCGATTCATAAATGATAACTAGTGCCATTTTTATTGCCAACACCAAAGATGCCTAACCAATTCCGGCCGATCTGATATATTAAAATGCATCTCTGGTCGGCAATTTCATTGCATGTATGGATTCGAATGCATTCAACCATCATTGTAATTCAGACAATGAAAGTTTCTATTCGATCGTACGGATATAAGTATTTTGATTGTTAGTTTATCTCGGAACAAAGCGAACGAGTGGAATGAACTCCTCCATTTCTGCTTGCTGCGGAAGGACAATCCAAAACGACCAGTTAAGAGAGAGAGAGAGAATTTTTCCATATCCATTTCTTCTGTGATACATGCAAATACCGAGCCTCCTGCGTATAAAATGTTCATCGTTGTGTGCAGGGCATGTGTGTAAAACATTTGTACATATTGCGGCTTTTAATTTCCCTCAGGTATTGCATAAAATGTTTTTCACTTGAATTATCGATCTGTCTCTTTATCCATGCTTCCCGTTGCTCTTTTTTTCCTTTGTCTGTGTGTGTGTGTGTGGATGTGAGTGATTTTTGGTAGTCGCATTTGGAAAGACGAGAGATGAGCCAGTGCGAAAGAGAGAGGGAGATACAAAACAATGCTCACGAGGGGTGTTGTGTGAACAGAAAACAATTGTCTCTTTGAAAATACATATATGGGTTTATAAACGCAACGAAATTCATTTCAGTTTTTATAGCATTTTTTTTGTGCGATATATCAATTGAGTGTTGTGTGATGGTGATGCTGTTGTTGTTCGGTGTGCACAGCACATGGGTTAGATCGTAGTGCAATCATTGTACGGTGCCAAACCAATTTGATTGCGAACTTGTTAGAGATGTTTTCGGCATTCAACCTATACAAAACAAACAGCTCGTCTCAAGCCTCGTATTGCGTTACCCCAAAAGCGCTATTCGTCCGGGCGTGCTCTCCCTTTCCCTCTCTCTCTCTCTCTTGTGTACCGCTAATACAGAATGAAAGCAATAAATCTAGCTGCCAGTGTTTGAGCTGGTGGTGTGAGGAAAATGTATAAAATACTTTTCGAAAAAAAGGGGAGCTCATTGCAGGGAAATCAAACATTGGGTCAATCAGTCGTAAAAATGGTGATGCAACAATGAAATTTATCACACCTCCGTCGAAGCGAAAACATGATAGAATTGAAGGAACACCGTCGAATTTGTTGCTGTGAACAAACTCATAGCGAGCCAGAGAGTGACGGAGCGTGAGCGCATACAAAATCCACACTAACATCAGCCATTCATTTGCGATGTACCCATTATTCACTGCTGATACTGGTGACCATAAAACCGTCGTCGACAATTTCAAACGGTTCTATTGCAGAAAAAAAAGTTCGTTTTTTTTCAGTTAGGAAAATTCGAGTTGAGTTCATAAAAAAGGAGCAAACACAAAATATACGAGGAAAAAAATGTTCATTTTAACACGCAAGGCGTTTAGTTATGCTCTCCTTTT